TGGGCATAGTCGGCGCTGCGATTGTGGGCGTTGCCACGCGACGCGGGCGACGGGCCGCGGCCCGTGGATGCGGCCCGGGGCTTCGCTCGCGGCGATGGTGACGCTGTGCCTGGCGATGGGCGCGGGCGCGGGCGGGCCGCCCCGCTCGCATCTGCGCGCCCGCGCTTGGCGTGAGTAGTTCCGCGACTCGGCGCTGCTGCGCACGCCCGCTCGTAGAGCCCAATGTGGGGAGTACACGGATAACCGTCCGCTTAGTGGACTGTCCAATCTGCGTAACCGGTATTGCCGCTGGCGCACTGGTCGGGAGGCTCTAGGACTCGAGTCCCGACGTGGCGGATTTTCTACTTCTTTTCGACACCAGCTACCCACAGCTAAGCCGTATGCAGCCACTGTCTGGAGGAGAATTCTAGCTGCTGGCTGCTCTCATCGATTTCTGTGATTAACACCAGGAGAATGCCGGAGTAATACCCTACGAAACTGTCAACGAAACGCAGTTTACGTAAATGCCTTCTACGTTTACTTACGTGAGTGTCTCGGTTCGCGGTGACGGTGTTGCCAGCGATGCTGCCAACCCTTGTCTGTTTCCGTTTTTCCGGATACAAAGCGCACTTTCTGAAACTGTGAAAAATCAAACCATAATTTTGCTAACTGTGGATTTGTTAAGTCTGTCCAGTTACGTTAATCATCAGAGTAAGTTTGTATTAAAAATAATTGTTCATATTACCAAATTGTCTAATTCAATCCTTCGAATAAAAATCAAAGGAGTCATAATAAAAGAATACAAATGCAATTTTATACATATATGAAAGAAGGTTTTTTTCGGAAATATCTTCTTCTAGATTAGGACCAACGATTAACTGAAAATGATACCGTGGAGTATGTAAAAGTGTGATGCTTAATTCTTAACACAGTAAACATTTGTAGAGCATTCGCAAATCTAATAGACGGTTACTGATTGAAGTTACTGTCTTTGTAGACCTGTAATGCCACCCAACTTCAATTTGTCTTTGAATACTGATATTGGGTTTATTCACAAAATATATAAGTATCAATGTAATTGACCGATAATGTTTGTCATTTTGAGAACAAAACTTTGGAGTATTTTTTCAAAGACCTAGAAACGTTAATATACACATGTGAAAAGTGGGTTGGAGTAAGTGATTAAGTTGAAATATATTTTCCCCCTTTGTATCGAAAATAGAAGTCAGTGAGGCTAGAAACTTATGGATCTCACCTCGTATGTTCAAATAGTACTATAGTGATATGTAAGCGGTACAATAGTGTATGAAAATACGTGTTGATGTAACTTCTCTAGTTTATTTCTCAAATAACGTTAGATAAAGTACATTGAGTGTCTTCGAGTTTAATTCGTTACAATGATGTGTCTTTCGAGTTTAATTTGTAGTATGTGTTCAAATAGTATTTATAACCTTTCATTCTCAGTCATTAAACATTTTTGGTTTTACATAATTTTGTGTTGTTTGTAGTCAAGACCTAATGTAATACTTGAATACAACTTATTCAGCACGTAACTGTTCTGCAGGAACGTCGACTACATTAATGACAAAGAGAGAATCTGCTGATTCACAAGCTGACAAGATTTTCTATCAGCAGGAAATTTACACTATTCCTTGGCATTATCCCAAGAGAAATGTATTACCGGAAGATAGACTGGAGAAAATCTTTACTTCAGAAGACGAAAATGAAACATTCGTGAAGAGGAAGAATGTGAGTTTGGGTACGGAACAAATCTTCGTAAAATTATCTGTTTTTTCTAATGTTCGTATTGTTGAAAATTTAAGCCTGAATTACATGATTCCGTTTATGCCTTGTATGTAGACTACATAACTTGATAACTTGCAATTTGTCTTAAATTCACTCATATTTTGTGTTTACGAACTAGTTTTGGGTTTACGGACTAAAAGAGGACTCTTTAGCCTGAAGACTATTGTCAGCAGGTACATGCGGTTAGGTTTTTGTGTCAAATTCGAGTTAAATGAGCAATATGAAAAAGGAATAAATTAAGTTCTCTACTTTAAATATTATCGTCTCCACTCATTCTGATAGAATAAAAAATACCTGTACAATGTAATACATTAATACTTTATAATATGCTCAATTCAACATTTTAAATTTAAAATCTGACTCACCATGGGAAAAAGTTGGAACTATGATCTTTACTGAGATAATTGGGTCTGCCTGCCAACTAGCGAACAGGTCTGAAATCAGTGGCTGGTGTTTAGTATTCCCACAAGTTCATTCCCGTATGAGAATTCATAAATTGGCAGTATGCCCCAGATATTTCCTGCTGCTTCCAAAATACGTTGGTAGGTTGTCTGCAGTACTGAGATATGAGTGAACTGTATCTCATATGGCATTGCCAATGAATTTATTACTATTGACAGAAAAATTCTTCAAAACAATGAACTTGTAATGACATTAGTGTGTTTGACATGTACCGAGAAAACAGAGAGTTGATACTTGTTCAAGAACGTTTACTGCTGCTATATTATGACAGTGAAAGTTCTTTTGCGAAATGCGAAAATATTCGGATCTCAAAGAGACAGATAAGCGATTATTTTGGAAAGAATGTCATGAAAATAATTCGGATTTCTAATAGTTTTCAAGTTATAAATTTGTTGGTAATAATGTTTTATCTTTTAATGTTTGCTTCTTATTCTTATATTTTGTAATAGAGTTTGATTTGTTTATTGATTTGGCTATTGTGACTCCATCAGTTTGTCATTCGTATACAGAAGCTTCAATAGTTGGCAAGAGTTGGCATGGGCGGTTCCGTTGCGTATACATACTTTCCCGTCGCTTCTTACGTACTCTCTTATTGACCACACTATCTACCCTTACTACTTACTACCTAATTAGAATTTGTTGCATAAATTAAATTGACGTCTCTATATTGACGTCTTGTATATGTAACAACATTAAATAAATGCTAAATATCTGAAATTTTGTCTAGATGCGGACCAAGAGGCAGCTAGATAAAAGGCCGAAAGCCAAAATTAGCAGAAGCACGCGCATCCTGGTTCTGTCTGGTGAATTTATAATGGCGGTGTTGGTGGCGATGCTGCCTTTATGGTACGTGTGATGAGAAAGGGTGTGAAAGAGATGTGATTTGAAAAATGGGCGAGGCGAGATTGTGTACGGTGTGGTATAAAACGAGGTGGTGCAATGTCGTTTGGTGTGGGAGGGTGGCGTAGTGTTTATGGTGTGATGTAGAGAGGTGAGGCGAAGTGAAATGGGGTTTGGTGAGGCGTGGAGGTGTGGATTGTGCTGGATCATGTGGTTGTAGAGTGGTCAGAAGAAGTGTGGTGTGATAAAGTGTGTCGATTCAGTGAGACGAGCCGGTGTGGGTCGTGGTGAAGTGAGATGCTGTGGGATGTGATGGAGCCAGTTGTTTGATGTGGTGTAGTTCATGACTCTACAATTGTGAGGCTCCCGTGGCATACCTTGGACCAGCGCTTCTCTGAGAACCGGTATGGCTCTCTGTTTATTGACCCACCCAACGGTAGGGGAGACGCTCAGGCGCAATCGGCTCTAGTCTAGCAAAACACGCGTGTCAGGCGGGAAACCGCAATCTGGCCCAAATTTTTGCATTTGAGCAGCCCGGATTTAGGGCGTGGCAAGGTAAAGCGAAGGCCGATGTGGTGAGGCGAGGAGATGAAGTATAGAGTTGATTTAAGATATTATAGTTTGGTGCAGAGTGGTACGTCGTGGCAGTGTAGTATAGTGTGATGTGATATGTTGTGATATGGTGCGTCGAGGTGGTCTTGTGGTACGGTGTAATGTTGTTTCATGTGTTTTGATGTGATGTTATGTGGTGAGGTGAGGTGTGGCGAAGAGATGCGGTGTGATGTAATGTGATCTGATGTGATAAGGTGCGTCGGGGTGGTGTAGTGTGGTGCGTCGCAATGCTGGTGTGGTGAAGTGTGTCGTAATGCAATGTGGTTTGGCAAACCAGTGTGGTATAGTGTGGTGCGTCGCGGTGTTGATATGGTGTAGTGAGATGTAATGCGATGTGATATGGCAAAGTGGTGTGGTGTAATGTGGTGCGTCGCGGTGACGTGGTGTAGTGTGATGCAATTCGATGGTAGGTGGCGAGGCAGTATGTTGTTGCGTGGTGTGCTACAGCGTGACGTGAAGGGGCTGGGGTGAGGTGTATTGTAGCGTAGAGTGCTGCGACGCAGTGAGGCGGGTATGTATGTAGTGTGGTGTGCAGCTTACGTGTGACGTGACGTGGAAGGGCCCTGGGGTGTGGTGTAGCGTAGAGCGCTGCGAAGTGGTGAGGCGGGTATGTTGTCGTGTGGTGTGCTCAAGTGTGATGTGGGGGTGTGGTGTAGCGTAGAACGCTGTGATGTGGCGAGACAGTATGTTGTCGTGTGGTGTGCTGCAGTGTGACGTAAAGTAGCAGGGCCCTGGAGTGTGGTGTAGTGTAGAGCGCTGCGATGTGGCGAGGGGAGTATGTTGTCGTATGGTATGCTGCAGCGTGCCGTGACGTAGCAGGGACCTGCAATGTGGTCATACACTATGTTGTCGAGTGATGTGCTATAGTGTGATGTAGCAAGACATGGCAAGGCGCTAAGGTTTGGTGTGATGTAGCGTAGAGCACTACAATGTGGCGAGACACGTTGTGTGGTGTGCTGCAGTGTGATGTGACGTAGCAGGGCCCTGTGGTGTGGTGTACGAGAGAGTGCTGCGATGTGGCGAGGCGAGTATGTTGTCGTGTGGTGCGCTGCTTTCGTGTGACGTGACGTGACGAGGCAAGGCGCTTCGGTGTAGCGTGGAGGCGGGCGGCGCAGGTACCTGAGGAGGCTGCAGCGGGCGCGGACGGCGCTGACGCGGCCGCCCAGGGGCCCGCGGGGGGCGTGGGCGCGGCCGATGCTCATTCGCGCCTCCCTGCGCTCGCTGCTGCTGCGCCGCGACGCCCTCGCCGCGCACGTCGCCGCCGAATTCCCCTCCCTCCCGGTCGACGCCCCCTCCGAGCGATGGGACCGCTGGAGGAGCGCCACTTCCCAGGTAGGCGCCCCTCCTTCCCTATCCTCCCATGTGTTTTTTCAGTAGACTAGATGAAATTTGCCACTGTCATCCCCTTTTTTTATTGCAGTATTATAGATGAGTTTTGCGGCTGTCAGCTCCTGTTTTATTTCAGTAGTGTATATGAGTTTGGCCCCTGTTTCATTGCAGTAGTATAGATGTGTTTTGCGGCTGTCAGCCCCTGTTTTATTTCAGTACTATAGATGAGTTTTGCGCCTGCCAGCCCATGTTTTATTGCAGTAGTAGAGATGCGTTTTGCGACTGTCGGCTCCTGTTTATTGCAGTAGTGTAGATGAGTTTTGCGACTGTCAGTCCCTGTTTTATTGCAGTAGTATAGATGAGTTTTGCTGCTGTTAGCCCGTTTTTTTTGGAGTAGTATAGATGAGTTTTGGGGCTCTCAGCCCGCGTATAATTTCAGTAGTGTAGATGAGTTTTGCTACTGTAGCCACTGCATTATTTCTGTAGTGTAGAGGTGTCTTTCGGCTCTCACACGCGACCAGTCTTTATAAATGAGGTCCCTAAAGATAAATAATTTCACGGAGACGTCACGAATCGCACTTCAACTTAGAAAGGAGCTGTTGAACAAAACTAGCTGATAAAATTCTTGTGAAATGCAATTCACTACACTTGAACAGCGTTATTAAAATATGTATAAAATTATATAATTCCTAAATGACTCTTCTAAGGCCTTAAACCCTATAATTTTGAGGACAAAAACTTCAAAGAAACATTCCTCGTAATCTATAGGAATGGTGGACAACCCTTTCCGCGCGACGTCATACTATAACCCAGGGTTGTCCAACTGGTGATCCACGGTGCCATTTACTGCGGCCCGCGAAAAATTTCCTTATCGTAAAAATAGAATAAGTTTATATTTAAGAACAACTTTTTTTAGTAAATTCAGAAATTTGATATCCTAATGTGTTTCACATCGTACTGCGTTATACATCGGTTGCCTACTGATATCACGGGTGATTCCATCCCCCACTCTCCACCACGATTCACAGCTGCCGCAGATAGCCAAAACAGGGGAAACAGATTGGGATCGCTTGAGTAATGTAAAAATGGCCTGTAACCATTTAAAAGTTGTATTTGTCACTCTTGTGGCCTCACAAGTTGGACACCCCTGCTATAACTATATGGATGTCCGGAGACACCGCGTCCTAGCCACAGGAGTCAACGTTTCGGTTCATTTTTTTACTATCCTCCTATTTCCCTCTACTACCTTCCTGAGTGATCCGTCCCGGCATTTCAACCTAGACTATTGCCCCGAGGAAGGTCGCAGTGTGGCAGCGGAAACGTTGGCACCGGTACCTGGGACGCGGCGTCTCCCGGACAGCCAAGTAGTACTGACTCCAGCGGTAGAAGCGTACGCTAGCATCCACAATACTAAATTCGAATACACGCGTGTATTAAACTATGGGAAACTAGGCCCTGTGTGGCCACTTGAGCAGTGCCAATGATTTCGTTGCATAGACAGAAACTCAGGAGAAAATTCAAAAACAATTAAGCAGATTCCATTTTCACTAAAAAGGCAAATATTGGATTACATTACTCCATCTACTTTTATACTGCACCTACCACCTAAACTTTCATACTCAGTGATTCACTTTATACGACAAAGTTGACGTCATACCAAGGTTCCCAAGAAGCGCCCTCATCTATTAAATATTTGCAGCTAAAGGGTTCCTCTACAGAACTGCAGATTTTTTAACTGGCTTATTGAAGAAACTGTGTGGAAGAAACCGTGGCATAAGGCGCGCAGGGCTCAACAACATTTCACAAATTGTGTGACACAACGCGTGGGGTACATCAACATCCCACGAACCGTGCGAAGCGGGTTGCGCAAGGCCCGACAGCATAGCTCGAACTGTGTGATATGAGGTGCGTAAAATCAAACAACATTGTCTTCCCCTTAAGGCTGCTCCACACATGCGGCTTTCGGCGAATCCCGATCAAGTGCTCGTCGAATACCGAGTAGTGTGGACGTGTTCCTTGCGATTCGCTGAGCGCCGAACATTCAGAATTCGCTCTACCCACCGCGTGTCGATCTTTGGAACACGTCAAAGGGAGCGAACATTTGCCGAACGCATCAGCTGTTCGGGCTCGGGCGAGCTGTTCGGCTGGCTGCTCGGCGTATGCCGAATGTGTGGAGCCGCCTGTGACGTCTCATTTGGAGTTCAATTGTGTTCGTCTGACCCCTTGCGGGGTCTCTTCGTACAGTGGGCTTCCAGTGGGTTTTTGTTAGGATTTTTGGCTCCTCGTGTGATGGGGATCGGGAGTCTGGGTTGTTGGCGGAAGGGTTAGTTTATCTGTGGAGAGAGGGGTTATTGCAATAAAACAGGGTCTGACAGCCGCAAAACTCATCTATACTCGTACTACCTGAATAAAACAGGGGTTGACAGCCGCAAAACTCATCTTTACTACTGCAATAAAACAGGGGCTGACAGCCGCAATACTCATCTATACTACTGAAATAAACAGGGACTTGCAGCCGCAAAACTCACCTATACTACTGGATTAAAACAGGGGCTGACAGCCGCTAAACTCATCTATACTACTGCAATAAACCAGGGGCTGACAGCCGCTGCAGGGAAGGGGCAGGACCGGGATGGGAGGGGATAGGGTGAGGTGAGAGGGAAGAGGTCCTCGGGTTCTATCCCCGAAGGTGTCAGCATGTTCTTCACGAGGTCAAATTCAACCGCTGTCTGGGGGAGATATGTAGCGGCCGGTCGCTCCGATCGGTAGTTTTCCGCGGTTCCTCTGATCGCCTGTGCGTGCGTGGCAGGGCGAGCGCGGCTCGTGGATCATGCTGATGGCGGCGCTGCGCGCGGCCGAGCGGTCGGCGACGGCGGCGGAGCGCGCGGCGCGGGCCGCGCGGCTGGCGGCGCTGCGCACGGCGCCCTCCCACGAGCTGACGGCGGCCGGCGTGCGCATCGCCGACAAGTTGGAGGTGGAGCGCGCCATCGCCGGCCGACGCCTCTCGCGCCAGGCGCCGCGCGACGCCCACACGGCCGACGCCTTCGACTACCTGCCGCGCCCCACCAGGGGCATCACCAAGGTGCGGAACAGGCGTCCCTGCTGTGCCGCTGATCGGGAGGTCCTCGGGTTCTATCCCCGAAGGTGGCAGCATTTTCTATACTAGGTCGAATTCAACCTCTGTCTGGGGGAGAAATCTAGCGGTTGGTCGCTCTGATCGGTAGTTTTCCGTGGTTTCTCTGCTCGACACCAGACGAATGCCGGAGTAGTACCCTAACAAACAGGCCATGGACCGCGCGGGGTCTTTCTTGACTTACCCTCGCCCCTTACTTACACACACATGCACTGCACTACCACACGTGTCGGTAGGTCGGTCAGGAGCTTACTGTCCGTTCCGGCGGGGGCTGTGCCCAGTTAGTGGGAGATACCTGGCTAGAGAAAATCCCTGCAAACGGACGTAGGTCAGTGTCAGATCTCGCCCTCCAACGCGGTATGATTATTATCAATTTCCTCGCGATAAAACATTCTCTATACTCACGGGATTAGTTAACAGACTAGTTAACACGCCAGTGATCAATTAATCAATCAATTTATCTGCCTGCAGAAACGATTTATTCATTATATTGTGTTACAGGGGGCGATTGTACAGGTGTCTCAGAATGTTACACATTTCTAGGGCGTGTAAAGGTGTCGAAAATAATATTTTGCCGAAGAATGTATAGTGGAAAATTTCATATAACGGAGTTAGACACCTCTGATTTATTCAGGCAACTTCTTATGAACAGATGGTCGTCAGATGTTACTGTGATGTAGTCAAGGGGATTTATTGCCAAACCTCTGTGCATGCAGATGACCTATCACCGCCCACTACAGTTTAAAAAAAAAAAAAAAAAAAAAAAAAAAAAAAAAAAAAAAAAAAAAAAAAAAAAAAAGCATTCACTGCACTTAGGGGTCTGGTGACCACGGCCGTTGAAGCGCCTGAAAACGCGAATTGATGAACTCGGCACATTTTTTTTCCCTCGGCGAATATGCCAACTTCCAGCGGCAAGCGCGGCCCGCGGTGCGCAGGAGGCGGAGCCGACGGAGGCGCTGCTGGCGGCGTTCGGGGAACGGCAGCCGCCCGTGCGGCGCCACAGCGCCATCGGCCTGGTGCGCCACGACGCCCCGCCGCCGGCGCTGTCGCCGCGTGGCGCCTCGGACCTGGCGCCGAGCGTCAGCCTGCCCGACCTGCGTGTGCTGGGCGAGCTGCGCGCTGCCCTCGCGCCTCCGCCTCCGCGCCCGCGCCCCGCGCACGCAAATGCAGGTGCGGGACGATCTTTATTTATCGTTAGACTGCCCTTAGGCAGTTGATTCGCACCTTTTTTTTTCGACCCAGGCTTCCTTGGAAGCCTGCAGACGCCCCTCGCGGGAGGTCCCCTAACTGCGCCTGGGATTTAACTCTCACTTTCTCCGCCAGATGTCGGACTCAGTGACCTGCCTGGTTGGTTGGGAAAATTAGAGATCTCCTTAGGGCGAGATGTCGGAGGGATTTAATTTTCCCTGGCCCTGGAAAAAATTTCTTGAAAGTATTCGCACTTTCATCGTCCAAAATGGAATATTCAGAACAATGACAAACACTCACAAATACGAGTCCTGCAAACCACTCTACAAAAAATTACAAATCCTTCTAATTCCATGCCTGTACATATTTGAAACATTAATATTTTCAAAGAGGAGAGGCATAAGAGAAACAAGGATTCAATTCTAAACACAGAAGTTCATTACTATGATACAGAAAAAGAAATCTGCATGTCCCTCTCAGTGAAACTTCACTCTTTCAAAAGCTACCCTTATAGAAGATAATACACTATATAGCAAATTCCCTGCTGAATTTAAAAGCCTAAACTCAATACACACACTCAAAAATAAACTGAAAGTTTTACTGTTAAATCATACATTCTACAAGATAAAATAATAGTTAATCATAACCACAGAGCCTCATCAATATAAACGTCTACTAATAAATTGCATATTTTGTTCCATATTTGAAACCCCCAAAATGATTGTCAGATATAAAGAATGGATCCAGCCCATTCATCAGATTCATATGATGAAAATTTGTTTTCTTTTTTCCTTTTATTATCTCCTTTTTTATTATTACTTTTTATCGATTTTAGTCTTTTTACAGGCTACTATTTATAAACTTCATTAGCATTGTATTTTATTTAGGACCAAAATTGAATTGAATTTTAATTTCCGTATTGTATTTAATTTTTAGAAATAACTGTATTGAACATTGTATGATTATGTACATATCCTAACTTGTCATTATATGTCTTATGCTGTATTTTTATGACAAATATATTATTATTATTATTATTATTATTATTATTATTATTATTATTATTATTATTATTATTATTTCAGGCGTTGAAAGCGTCGACAGAATCTGAAGCTAATAGCCGTTCCCGACGAGTACCGTCATGCCTAAAGAACATCGAAACGGATCAAGATGAATGCAAAAGTGATGACGATGGATGGACGTCGTTGAAGCCAAGAATATTAACACTCGCTACAACCATTCATAAATGATCCAAGTATAATTTCTTAGGCCCTATTCACTAGAAATCATTTCTATTGCAAACTTAGTGCATTATTTTCCAATCTTCTTAAAAAAAAGAGGTTAGATTCAAGGAAAGGATATTCTTGATGACGGTTTATCTGCTTTTATGATAGTTCTTTATTAAATTCATGAAAATCACTTTAAGAAATAAATGTCCAGCTTCTGGCTAAACTGCAAGACTTAGCTCACTAAACTCAATGAGTTCTCTAAATAAATTTTAGGTTCTATACAGTGTCTTTTACAATAATGTCATTACGCATGTTCTCAATATAACACTGAGATTATTATTAAATATTCAAAAAATACAGTAATTGATTAGCAAAATCACCAAATCTGAAGAAACCGATCAAGGAGTCATAGAATATTGGTGGAGGAGCCTTATAAACGAAAACAATAATTTTGTATTAATATATTTGTAATAAATTATTTTTATATGAGCCATTTCTTTTAATTTTATAACAATGTTATAAATACGAGTATTAGAGATGGAAAACAGAAATCGGTGTCTTCAAGAAGAGATTCTTCCCAAATTAATGGAGCACATCAGAAGATTATTTTCTCTTTAAAATGAGGTCAGAGTCGGCGCAACTCAAAAGATATTTGTAAAATTATTTGTTCTTATAATTTCTTAAATTATAAAATGAAATAATGTCAAATTAAAAAGTAATAAAAATGTGTCCTGAACGCTCCATATAATTTACCTCTATGATTGAGGAGTAACTCGCACAAAGGAGTACTCTTGTACTGGAGAGATCTGGTCGTAGTATATTAGTGAATTTAAGTGTATATTAGAGATCTGGTCGTAGCGTGTTTTATGCTGTCACTTCCACCGTGAAATTAATTCTCACATCTACCAATCAGAATTCAGAAAAGGAGCCAAATCGTTTCATTAAGTAACTACAACATACGTAGCCGAGGTATTTCCAGAAACGTGAATCAAAATGTACGTTAACGATTACATACCTACAACAACTACATATTAACCTCGAAAAAATAAAATAAAACTGGCGAAGTAATTTACCTAGTTAATTTATGGTTTAAAAGAGAGTATTACACAAGCAACTTTTTTCACCATTGGTCTACCTTCCCTCTTACTGGAATAGCTCAATAGCAAGTGAAGGTAAAATTTTCAAGGACCAGTGAAGACAACATTCCAAACATTATCTTTGGCGCGAAACAAGCCATTTGCTGTTGAAGAAGAGAACTCCCATTTACGTGTGTGTGTGTGTGTTTTTTTTTTTTTGTTTTTTTTTCATGTTAAGAAAAAGCAGTGTTAGCCTCAGGATCTTCGCAAGAGACAACTCGACCTCGAACTCGTGAGAAAGTTTGAAGAACTTAAAATAGCGGCGATTTCAAAATTATTGATAAAGTTGTGAAAGCATGCGGATTGGGATAAGGGAAAAAGATTTTGATGTATTCTCTTATGTAATACTTTGGATCGTGTTTCTTCTTACATTGAAGCAAGCATTTCGACGATACGGAGACTAAGAATTAAAAAGTCGATAATTCTTTCAATTCCCCAGAAACGCCTTAAAAGGGTAACATTTAAGGACATACTGTGATAAGAGTGAAAGATTGTTTTAAGCCTTTAATAAAGTTTGTTTTGTACTATTTTTGAACTATTATACGTTAATAAGATTGGAATGTTTGTATCTCGAGGCGACGATAGGAGCCGAGGGAAATAATTTTCACGTTCGAATAAAATCTTTTTACTCTCGCGTGCCCTACATTATTTTATCCATTACAACATTTTTCAAAATTTCTTCACATATTCACGTATGATTATAGCTTTGTAGTCGCAATTTCGTTGTTTGCTGTTTTGTTGCAAAGTGTAGATAATTGTAACTTCTTGTTCATAAATGTGTTGTTTGGGAAGTAGTGACATGAATGTTGTTTTTTTGTTCAGTTAACAAAATATTCTTATTAATTCCATGAAAATTCTTTTATCTCTATGTTAATAGCACGCGTGCAATAAAAATCTACAGTGTAATTAAAACTCCACATCTACCAATCAGAATTCACAAAAAGAGCCAAATCGTTTAATTAAAAAACTCGAACCCATACGTAGACAAGGTATTTCCAATAGGCCATGAAACATGAACCAAAATGTACATTAACAATTACATACTTACAACAGCTGCATATAAACAACGAATAAATAAAATAAAATTGGCGAAGTAAACGTTAAGCTAGCCTTTCATTAACTAGCCAGCGTTCCGTTAGTAATAATCGAACATTAGTGATAATGGAACATCATAAATAAATTAAACGTTGTACGTGTAAAATACTTGGTCATAGAATAACAAATTTTTAAAAAATGTAAGCGTCAGTTGTGTTTACTCGTTCTAAAATATACGCTGCAGATGCAGTAAATGTACATTTCACAAAATAAAAAAATATAGGCACTGCAACCAAGTACGACTTTCTCTCAATTATAATAAAATCTAGAACAAAATAATCAAACAACTTTAAACGTGAAAATCATGATTTAATTCGTTTCTCTTGTGAGCCAACGATAATGGTTAAAAGAGTAACGTTAGTAAATTGAATCAAAAACAGTCAGAAGGACAACAACGCTGTTTCGTGGCTATGGCAACGTAAACACATCGTCGGAAGCCCATTGCTTCAGAGCAGGGCACATGATGTACCATAGCACGTGGTAAGAGAATTGTCGGAGCCACTTACACACTAACGGAACTGTAACTGTTGGGCTTCTTTTCACGAATGAGGGGTGAATATGCAACAAAAATACGGAAATATGGCCCAAATATGCAAAAAACATACAATTATGGTGGTTATGCGAAATAAAAGTAGCTTAAATTGATTCTAATTGCCTCAAAACGTATACAATTTGTTGAAACGGGATATTTTAGTTGATAGTAGAAAAATGCAAATGCATATAAATCACAACCCTAGTCATTACGATTCTTACACTTAAAACTGTATCTAAATTCTATATAACAAAATAAATGTTTCTGATATTCCATGGGGTATACTCTTGATTTAATGACAGCAAGGCATCTTCGTTACATATATCTAACTAAGCAACTGCTTGTCTGAGAGGTGATGGTCATCCATTCTTCCGCCACTGTCTTTTCCAGATCATCTTTGCAGGATTTATTCGCTTTACGAACATTCCTCTTCAAAATTGCTCATAGATGTTCGATGTGGATCAAGTCTGGCGATTTTGCTGATATTTTGAGTTATGTGGGTACATTCCATATTAACTATTGCTTATTCCTGCAGTAAGCTTTTTATCATTGTCATTTTGAAACAAGCATACTCAACATTGCAGCACTTTGCTTCAAATATCTTTTCAGGATGTCGTGATATACATGCTTGTCCACAATACCGTTTATGAAATTAATATTTCCGACTCCTCTTGATGACAAACACAGCTAGTGCTAATGTATAACAAACGTAGCATTCTGTATCGTTTCTGGAATATTTTTTTTCCGCTCACTTCTTCTGCCCCTTTTTCTACACTTCTTTCTTCCTTTCCCCTCACAGATTTCTCCATTTTTTTTCTTTATGACCCCTTCCCCTGATCATATTTTCTTTTCTCTTTCAGTTCTATGTATATCGTATTCTGCTCTATTAATGTTCAGCCATAAATTGCCATCCTGATTGAGGTTTTTCTGGGTTTACTCAACCGCTTATGGCATACGCCGGGATGGTCCCTTGATTTGCCATCCCAATCATAAATGTACAGTTTGTTCCCCACTTAGTCTCTATCCTTTTTTGTTTCTCATTCGTATTTTCTTCGTATTCATTTGTGTTTCCCTTCCCTCATTTTCTCTTCCACTTCTATGCACTGATACGGTTCGGCCCTTAGCGCTATTCTGATTGAGGTTTACTGGGTTTACTCAATCGCTTAAGGGGCATGCCGGAGTGAACCCTAGTTTTGCACTTCCAGACGTAAATATACAGCTTGTCTTCCCCCTTTTAAATTTTACTACTCTCTATTAATGTAGGTTCAATGGTTAGGCGGAAGAGCAGGCCCGATGACCTGAGCCTCGCCATTAATAAAGACAGATTATATTAGATTCACTGCCGTGTTTCAGTGTGGGAAATTTTTGTCACTTCATTGTCAATATTTACTCGTGTCCACACATTGTGGATGACGCTGAGGCAAAACCGTTTATCGTAGTCTCAACCAACCAAATGACATTGTAACGAATTCTTCGTTTTGTTCAAGTGTTCCTTTGCGACGCTTAATCTCTCTGCTCTGTCCTTCTTTCTAACATAAGTCCTGTTTGGAGGAACTCTTCCGTGATACCCATATTGATATAACACCCTTCGAATAGTAGTGGCACTTATGGTATTTCATTAATCTTCTGAACCAGAGATTGCAGATGTGGCACACTCAAAGTGGGTTTTCTTGCAATCCCTCTCGCAACTAATCGCTCTTCAGTAGCATTACTAGCCTTTCCGGGGCCCTGGTTCAAAAGCTAAGTCCCTCCTCAAGAAATGTCCAACTAAAAAAAGCGAACTGAAAACCAATAGAAAAACTTTATTAATCATAATCAATCACAAAATTCAGAACCGAGCCCTGGGGACTTTCGCTTTGACTAACTTATCTTCAATGTCACCCTGGTTCACTTTTAACGAATGCGACACTTTACTCTCTGTGGACAATATACTAAGGCCCGCCAGTCTCCCATGTTCCATCGAATTTCGCAGATAATTTAATACGGTACGTTACAGTTAGAAATAAAAATTACTTTTTTAAAGGGGGTCACCATATATGACACTTGGATTCCTTGACTTGAGTCTTCCTTTATATTCTAATGAAATGTTTCAAATTACATATAATAAAACCCAGAATAAGGTCTCCAAAATTTTAAATGAAGCAATAAATAATTGGGGACCCGGTATGTGAAATTACAAATTTGGAAAATATCATCACGACCTCGTAATAAAATGTGTAATTCGAACTTTACTCTTGTCGATTTATGGTAATAAACAAATCGGGTTTTAAAATGGGCCTTAGCGTGTGTTCAGTTACACCCCCTTCCGCCAAAACAATGCTTCTGAGAGCTTCATTTAAAGTAATTGCACCTGCCGGACCGGCGGTAGTTATACCAGAGAAGATGTTGATTTATTTAACAAATTGGGGAGAATTGATTACAATATTCGGAACTTTATGTTGGGAAACCGGTTTTGTAATGAGTGCAATAATAATTTTCAATTTATAATAATCCTCTTTGTAAGTCGGTGTTGAAGAATATCACTTGTAAAATTGAACCGAAGTCAATATTACTCAAGGATTTATTGAACAGAAGTAATTTCCTTTTCATGTTGCTATTATTTGGATTGCGCTCACCGGTCATACGCTTCTGTGGATCACCAGACAGTAGATAGATCACCAGATCAGTAGATATCTAATACTTTTTCTCGATTGACAACTGACTGTTTATTTACTCTACAATTCTGACTTGTTATATATCGTCAATTCGACTAAAAGTTCAGAGATAAATATTAAAGAGGATATTTCACTACCGCACTTGTTCTACAGTTGTTCGACCCGCCATTACTTGAACTTGGTGATTGTCGTTACTAAGTGCGACTGAAAGAGGTTGCTAACCAGTTAAGTGTTCAGACACGGTACTCGAATCCTTAAATGAGTGGATGCTCTCTTCGGCGATATTTTGGGGGTTAAATGTAATTGCACGCGGTATCAAAAGATGTGACAGCTGTGTGACAGTTCCATCCTGTTGGCCGACAAGGTGAGGCTGATCATTTTCTAATTTGCACTCTCCAACTTGCAAATGTAGAAGAGTGGTTTGATCTAGTATTCCACCAAAAAGTTAATAAAATGACTTTCGCAAAATTATACATTTTCTGTAGAAGTATTGTTTATCTAATTTGGAGTAAGGGTGGTTGTGTCACCGGAATAACAACTGCTGATATTCCTACACACTGCAAATCAGACTACTCGTATCTGCTAGATTCAGCTAACACTCATTGATTTAGCTATTTCAGTGACATTCCCCATTGCAATACAAATTAAATTAATTTCATTATTTTCCCGTATTTCTTATGTGGCTCTGGTTCGTAAAGTTAATATTCAGAGGTTATGAAAAGTTATGAAATGCATTGTAACCTTCACTACTTTCGATTTGATTTGTAAATGATGCATTCTATACTTTGTTGTCCGTGACTTTCAAGATCTTTCAATTATACGATTATATTCGCTCTGGTGAGTTGTGAAGCACCATTTACCTACATCCAAAAGTGATTACAATCACCAGTGCTGTAAATTCTTGTGTCTTCACAATTAAAATTGATATTATATGATTTGAATAATTCATTACTTATTTCAGCCGTATGTTATGTTAATAAATTGTCGTTTACTTTTAAGGTTATGTTTCTATGAGAAAAAAACAACTCTTTTTTCTTCTTCTTTGGATAACAAATCATTTCAAATGACTGTGATAGAAATACTATATTTTAATTGTTTAATTCTGTTAATTTTTCACTTGGTGTGTTAACATTATGGGATTGTCATTTTGCACTCAATGACATAAAAATGGGTGATACATGTAAAGAAACTTACAAAATGTGTGTTAAAAAGATTTCCTTGTAAAAATCTCTCAGTATTCTTCTCAAGAGAAGCTGTTGCTACTCTTTAAAAAGATATAGAAGATAATTATATGTGATTAATTTTATGAAAAGAAAGTGACCTTCTTCATTTAGTTTTTATTCTCATTGAACTTGAATGCAGTGAAAGTTTGTTACTTGCGAAAGTAAAATTTAAACATGTTGAAGCTTTAAAACTAAGATTGAAATATCTTGGTGAATTACTGTTGCATTTTCTTCAATAGATAAATTTCCATTGGGCATAGATCTGTATCTTAATTATTTTAAAAATTAGTTTAAAAATTGTTTTTAATTTGCATTGATAAATTACAGGGTGCTGTCATTTTTTATAGTATAAAAAAATGGCCCCAGGTGTGAACCGTTTGGGGCGGGAAACTGGAACTGTCCCTAAAACCAAAACTCCAAATAACTCTGGACGAGACAATGCTATGGGCGTCAGTAGGACATCAAGAAGCAACATTCCAAATAACCTTGTGAGTTTTAAGTGCAGCATGTTTTCTATTTACTAATTATTTGTGTCTTTTTACTTAGTGAAAGTGAATACCTGCAGAGTTGTGTGAAAACATAATAGATCTGTGTATAAATATGTTAATTGTTAATTTATATCTACTCATTGTGACATTAAAATTTCTTTTTGAACTTTTGTTTGGTATTGTTGTTTTATTGATTGCTTAAGAATTATTTTTGTTAGTTTTTATTTTAATGCCAAGATTTGTTGTGAAACAATTAGTTGATAGTAAAGTGTATTAGAATTAGTTGCAAGTACTGATTGGCTTACTTGGCTACTAACTTCAGTTTTCATTATGGGTTAGTAGTCTTGCTAGGAATAGTATGCTCCTCCCCAGTGTTGTTCTAAAAATAGTTCTTTATTTCCTTGTTCTAAAGTTAACTTCTGATGGGATACCTTTGCTTGCATGTGTGCAGGCAGTGTGTAGTGTGTCAGGAGAGAATTCGTCAGCAAAAGAGGCCAGTAGAGTGGTGTGTATTATTGAAATTAGCATGGTGAAATAAGTTTTTCTCTTTTATGATATATAAAAGCAGTAATATAGTACACCTCAATAAAGATTAATGATCCATATTTCTGAGATGTAACAGGCACACATTTCACCTCTAAGCCTATGATATTAAATGGAACTTCAAGATAAGCTATGGTTTCAACTGGTTTTGAAATATTTATAATTTTCTGCTGTACTATTTTGGTTTCAGTGTTAATTTTCCTCATTACTTTTAGGACAAAGGTATTATTTTTATTATGTGAAGGGAAGAGAGTTTGTTGTAAGTGAAATTTGATTTTAGTTAGATTAGTAAGTCTTGTTCTGTAAACAATTCTTTGAATGTGATAAGATTATCTACAAGATATGTTTAATACTGTGTACAATCAATAATACTGTTAAAAATATTTTTGGGTGGTCATTTTCTTTTTCTGTTTGAAAATGGTTTATTTGTGTTTACAGACAACTCAAGACTGGCAATCTGCTTCAGGACCATCTACCAATAGGACCCGCAAAAACAGTAATACTAGGGCATCTCTTCTCGATTATTATGATCGTAAATGATTTTTCTTTATTTCTGTGTTGAAATAAGTATGTTTTTTAATTATGTAATATGAATAATATTTTTGGTTTGCAGCACCGGATGGCAGAATAGCTCATGAAAATAGCCGTTTTGCTTCATCTGAAAATCAAGTAAGGTTTCTTTATTCTCTACATTCTCTAATGGTTAGTTTTAATGTGTTTGCCCTAAATGAGAAACATGGTGTTGCAGGATCAGTGTGGATCTGTGAATAAGGTCTGCGGAGAAATAAACGGTATAGAAGCCTCTCCTCCAACCATTTCAGTTAGACGAGATTGTGTGAGAGGACCTCCAAGAAACGTTATGCCTGACACTGAAAATAAAAGTAATATAACGAAAATGGTATGTGTATTGCCTTACTTTTGTAGTAGTAGATGTAGATGCATGGAGTAGCAGTACTTTAAATTTTCTTGCCCATAGCCCGATCGAAACCAGATTTCAAGTCGATTGAATCAAATTCGAGATTATATTCAACAAACTTCTTCGATTATGGAGTCATTGAAGAGTTCTGGGCAACCGGTGAGTGAAGGGGAAATCATCATCAGAAGATGAAATAATTGTTATAGAAGACTATGTTTTGGGTGATTGCAGAATTTATGATTAAATACCTTCTTGATGAACTTCCTGTTTAGGTATTTCTTAAAATGTTAAGATTGATTAATTTTTGTTATTATATAATTTGTAAATTAGTGTATGCTTTAGTACTTTTCAAAGTAGTAAAACAAATTCTTCTTGATATCTCAATTAGTAGTAATTGAAATGTTATTTTAAAAAGTAATACATTGTTCATATTAGTTTATTTATTGGTTTGGTTGCTTGATTTGACTGCTTTTGATACCTTTCAAGATGTAAGATTTTCATCTGAGAAAATCCTCACTTCTTTATTTCAGAGTAGTACTCTTGACTTTTGCTGTTACTTGTTTGTTTGTAGTATACATTTTTTGATTTTGAACAGATTCACAACCCTTTATATAAGTTGTATCAAGAGTATATAATTTATTTTCCCTGTATGATTTAACATAACTAGGTACCTACTGTGCTCATTGTTGTATTCAAATGATTTTTCAGAATACTTTTACCAAAGAAGGCATTTAATCATAAAATGTTTTAATAGTTTGAACTACTTACAGTTATTTGGTGCTTTGATTTGAAAATGGATGATTGGCCTTCTGCCTTCAGTCAGTTTTTATTCATGACTTATAATTTTTTATTGAGTTGAAGGATGACAATTTGAGTCAAGTAAAGAAGAAGGTTATGAATATTAAACATAATTCTACTCACTTAGAGTCATCTTGTTCAATACCATAAACTTGCTGGCATGGTTGCTGATTTACGGGACAGTGAAGGCAAGTTAGCATCTTTGCTTACAAGATTTGATGATGTATCTGGTTCACAAATGGATAAGAATTCAGAAGCAGAAGAAGACAGTACATCAGTAGAAGCCGATAGGGCATCAGCAATGAATGGAAAATCAAGTGAAATGTTAAATGGCCATGCTGAAACAAATGGAGTTTCTGAAAATGGTTCTGAGGCCAGAGATAAAGTTCAAAAAGAGGTGATGAAGTAATAAAATAGCAGCATGTTGTGCTTTAATATTACCACCTGGAAAATCAAATAAATAAGAGTGACTAAAATAATTTGGAAGATGTACTTACAAGAAAGTGACAGTATAGATTAGTGAAAACAGCATGCTGTGTTTTGTGCTAGCACTAACCTTATTAAACCAGTTTAATCTCTCATACATTCGAGATGATGAGTTACTGGGTGTAATTTATTGCCTTAATCTTTTTTTATATTTTTTTAATATACATTTAGTTTTGTTTGAAAGAGCATTCAATATTTTAAAAATTATCGAAATTTGTACTCAAATCTTGGCCTGTTTTGATCAGAAAAATAACTTATTGAAATTTATTTTGTGTTTCGTAGTCTGAAGTTTTCATTATAATTTGTCATTGTATTTCATATTTTGTTTTTAATTTGTAGGATTTTGTACAAGTTGTGTGTTATCTTTAATACCATTGTCATCATGGTCTTTGTGTGAGTTGTCATTTGTCACAGCTTATTCTTACCTCTTGATCTTTTGATTACCTGAAGTTTGTTGCTTCCTATTTTTTCTTAGAAACTCATTACAAAAGCAACTTACCTCAAATTTGCTATGTGTAATTCGATAGTATTTATAATGAATTAGACACTGGTGATGCTCAAATCTATATAAATTTTTTGAAACCATGTTTTCTTGCAAAATAAAACATTGATATTTAACCAGTTTGCTTGAACAACATTTTTTTTTTGTTTTTGCCAAGTTATTTCAAAACCACACGTTCAGTAGACAGACTGCTGACTTTCATGACTGAGTTTGCGATTTAAATTCTCATCTCTCTGTGTTTTGAGGTGTTTTCCTATGTCATATTCCATCTTTATGTCATAGATCATTTGCCATCATTCTTCAGTTATTCAAACTTAATCAGTCAGCAACCGAATCATCCTTTGCCTGATATTTGGGGCAATTCACATACATTAGGAATCTTCATTCTTAGAGGGAAATATGCAAGAGAAAAATACTTTTTGCTATTTTTAAATAAATTTAATATTTTAAATCTACTTCATTGAAATTCATCTCTTTTCTACCTGAGATATTGTACAACTTCAAGTACATGTATCAAGTGGCTTTAATATTTGATAAACATGTGAGTTTTCATAAGTTTTAAAGTACTTCTGTAATTAAAAAAAATAATTTGATGTTATCTACAAAAGTAGAGGTTCGGTATATTTAAAATATTTATATGATTGACACTTTAATACAGGTGCATTTTCATGAAAAACACCTATGATACTCTTTAAACATACGAGATATATTAGTTGGAACAGGTTGGATGGTTATGTAGAAATCTTAGTCCCATACATACTTTAACAATGGAATGAGAGTGTAGTGTGCATGTACTAATATGTATTTTTTGTTTTTAAGAGTAATGTAACACAAAAAAAAATCTTTCATTTAGGAGACTTTTTAATTTTTTTTATTGATGATTCATAGAGATTACCTGTGTGTATAGTTGTATTCCAAAGTACAGTCATTCATGAAATGCATACATTGTCATTTATTTAGGTATTGGAGAAGCAATTTTAATTCTTTTCATTGAAAGAAGTTAACTAAGTTAAATCAAAATTCAAATATTACACATATTTTGGTTGTTTCAGAATGGTGCTGTCCTTAAAACTGCTGATAGTTCTCGATGCAATGAGCTACGAATGAGATTAGAAGAATCACAAAAGAAAGTAAGTGTGGTAATGGTTATACCCTAAACAATAACCCAGAAAGTACACAAATGGTATTAAATTACATATTTTTAGGGGTTATAATTTTTGGTGTCCGTTCTATCAATTCAATTGTCAGAAGATCTTTGTTGAATTGCTACTAACTTATGAGATACTAACTCAGTTTATAAAAAGAGACATTAACAACTTCAAAAATCATATTTAAAAATTTGTAAAGATTTTTAAAATTATTTCAAATAAAATAACATTTGTGTATCAAATTATTCATTATGAATTTAAATTTAATCACAAGTACTAAATAAACATGCAGTAAAATATAGCCTTGTTTTGCATTTTTTACTTCATTACTCAGATATAATATTAACAAAAATGAATGTTACTGGTAATGATTAAAAGTGTTTAAAATCTTAAAAGTGTGGAGAGGGTGGCAGTAATTGTTGGACACACCATATGTGCACGTACAGTACTGAATATATTTAAAAGTAATATCAGTATTTTATGTGAACTAAATTTAAGAAATAATATTTTTTTAAAAAGAAAGAAAGAGAGATAAAATCTCCTATTGGGTGATATTTTTGTACGCTTTTTCCAACTTAGCCATTAAATATTACAAAAATTACAAAGTAAATATTAATATCAATTGTAAGGTGAGTAATATTAACTTTGTTTTATTACATTGATTACAAAGCAAATAACTAAGCTTTAGATGATGTGGATGAGGTCTCAAAACTTACGTCTGATTTTGCTGTACCCGGTGTCTTCTCCTCTATCTTCTTTGATGTTTGTTTTCATTGTGTTTCAGTGCCCAAACTATACCTAATCCTTTCTGAAACAAAATTATATGTAGGATTTTCCATTCTTCCTTTATTTTCAGTTACAAGCCATGCAAGAACATCAAGCTGCATTACAAGCTCTCCAACAACAAACTCAACAACAGCTGAAGGAGGCTCGAGCAGCTCAAGTAAGCTTGTTTAATTTTGATCATTAATGTTGGAAAAAATTGAGCTATTGGAAAGTAGGAATGAATGGAGAAAGTATTACTTAATTTACTGGAACTTCAGTTTATAGATTTGGTAACTATAGTTGTCCTACTTTGACATTGTTAGATCTCAAGTAAAGTTCCTTCTGAACTATTGTTTATTTCTTCATCAGTTGTACACCTTGTCATTTCACTGTGTCATTTCTTTGTTAACGTGAAATACCTTTCACATATATATTTTAAGAAATTAGCATATCCCAGGGCTACATTGTGACTGTATGACAATCATGATACAAATAGAATTGAAGCATGTTGGCGCCAGTTGGGAAGCAAATAAATAGTGTTGAATCTGTTAAATAAACATGCAGATTAGTTGAGCCTGCTTCATGGAATTTGGGGGTTAGAAGATAAAGAATTGAGCAGGAAATATTGACTCCACCAGATTTTATTGAGCACTGCAAAATAATTATTGCTATATGGGTAAGACACTATGTGATCTGAAAAAGTGTTTCCAAATAGTATATTACGACGAGATCAGTGAATATACAGATATTTTTATTAAAGAGTGTAAAGTACAACAAAGAAAGCAATAAATGTTATTTACTACTAATGCATTTTCATTTTTTGGAGTAATTGTTTTTGTTTATTATTGTCATGTTCATCTGACGAAAAAGAAAGTGATAGGTTCCATTATATTTCAATGAAATCACTAGGTCTTTGGATTTCATTATAAGAAAGTTTCTAATTATTTCTTCCTTTTTTTACTGTGTTACTTATGGCAGAAATCATTAATTGAAAATGTTCAAATGCAAATGAGATGTTTTTAACTGGTACTGAAATGGTGGTTGAGCATTATTTATCTGTTTTACTGAACTCTTTATGTATTGATTCCGGTCGTGTTCCTTGTGATGAATTTACTGTGATGTTTGGAGAAGGTTCTAAAACAAATAATTTTAAAACACTTGGTGATACAAAATAGCAGGCTTCTTCATGCTATGTAGTTTCCTATTCTTTGGAATCAGGGCTACATTTTCAGTTTTGCCCCATTCCCTTTTCATCTGCTATCTCGGCACCTAAAAGAGCTACCAGGGCATTCCCCTTAATTTTCGACACAAGTTTTCTTGAGTCCTTACCCCTTCTCTTTTACCAGCATTAATTAAATTAATAATTAAAGATAGCAGTGAGTATTGTTGACGAAATCTTGATCACCACAAATTTTCACTCCAATGTAATAAAAATTATTTTGCCTAAAAAAAGTAAGCTACATATTTGATATAACAGGCCTGTTGTGGAAGAAATCAAACCTCTTCTCCCACTTTTAGTGAAATAAGGGTTCAAGAAAATGCTCAACGATAATATCCATGGCTCCCCAGGAGACAAATTCTTAGTGAAGACCATCTTTATACTTCCCAAACATCATGCTGTCCTTATGTTGAACTCAGTCCTACTCCATTACATACTGTTCCCATGTTAGCATGTAGTTTCACCTATTATATTTTATCAGATTTTTTAGCTTTTTATTTATGTCATGTACAAAAAGTATTGTAATCGTAGGAAAAGGTAATTTTATAATTGTGATGAGAGTATAATCTAAACTTCATTTAAAAATTCAAGGAACATTTCAAAAGAATCTCAATGTTACTGCATTTTTTCAATATTACCTCTAAATTGAAGAACCTTTCAATTAATCCAATGATACATTTTATCTGACAAGAAGAGAGGAAGTAATTGATACTGAATAAAAACAGTAACTTCTTTGATAAGGTTTTGGCCATCAGAAGTGAACTGCCTAGCTGTATTATACAAACTAAACATGAACAAATTATTATTCTTTCAGAGCACTCTTCTTGCTCGAACTGCTGCTGCTGCAGCAGCTGCTGCTACTACTACTGCATCGTCCATGAATTCTGACGAAGATCCAAATCCTGAAACACTGCGAAGTAATCTTGACACAATTCGTGATCGTTTGTATGCTCTGCAAATGTATGAGCAACGTAATCCTGTAAGTAACATTTCTCTCCCTCTCCCTCTCACTCTCTCTCACTCTCCCTCTCTCCCTCTTATTTTTTAATGCCCTTTTTTCTAGTGATTTTATCTCAGTTTCTTTCCAATTCCTGTAACATACAAAGCCCTGGAACTTCCTTTCTTTTCTTTGTTTCGCCTTTTTCTTCTCTCTCCTCTCTCTTTCCTCTCTTACCCCGTTTCTTTTCTTGTTTAGCTGTTCTCTCTCCCCTCTTCACATAACTTGTATCATCCCTCTCCCTCTTTCTCTTCTCCCATCTTGTTGTATTTCTATCTTTTATCTTCGTCTCTCTCATTCTGTCACTTGTTCTAATCTCTCTCACTCTCACTCTGTCACTCATTCACTTTCTCTCTCACTCTCTCACTCTCTTTCTCTCTCTCTCAAGAATATTTGTAACATCACTTGTCAATTTTAATGTAATGTTTATAGAAGGAAAACTTGCAGAATACTATTAATCTAATTTTTGTGGTTCCAAAATTAGTGTTAATACTTGTGGTACATCAATTAGGAAATTAAACTTGCAAAAGTGTCTTCATTGAATAACAAGATACAAGGTTCAGATTTAGAGTTGATATGTTACTCAAGTTAACCGTTTTCAAAACCATTAACAAAAAATACATATCTAGGAAGAAAAATTTCAATAAGTAAAATAATTTCTATTAATAACAAGTGTGGTGTCATAAACTGTATGTGCAAATTTCCTCCATAACTCGTACTTCAAGATCTTTTTATTGTAATACATTTATCTTCAAATGTGTTGTTGTAGGATAAGCTGCAAGAATTGCAGACCAAAAAGGAGCGAATGGATCATTTAGTGGCTGAATTCCAAACTGAAACAAATGGTGCTGTGGGTCCTGCAGCAGGTACAAATTGTCTTTTTTTTAACCCTGTAGTCTAAGTCAAAATGAATGGTTTATTTAAACAAGATTATTTGCATTGCCGTTGACTGGAGCAATAATACATATGGTTCCTTAACTATCAACAAATGCTTTGTTATATAGCTAGCCTTCAGGGTGGCAGAGAGAAGAGTGGTGAGAGTAGTAAAGATGGCAGTGAAGCGGGAGATGATGATGGCAATAATTCAGACATTGAATGTGATGTGCAGAGAGTTAGACACAAAATGGCACAGCTCTCAGCGATGAGAGCACAACTTCGAAGACTGCAAAACATGGTAGATTCTGGCCTGCAAGATACAGAAATGACAGGAGTTCAAGTAAGAAAATATCCTGATAACATAATATGCTTGACAATTAATGTTGAAATGGTTATTTATGATGAGTGGTAAAAGTGACACATTATTTTGCGAGTAGGAAATGATGTCTAATAAAGCTGAGTGGTGCAGTCCTACAAGCAAAATAAAACCACTTTTACCACATTTATCGTACACTATTTTTTAGACAGGTTTTCTGATTCGTTTTATTTTGAATCGAGCGTACAAATCAATGATACAATAAGGTCAGTAGTAGCTGATGCATTCAGATAAAAGTATTTTGTTTTCTTTGTTCAATTTTCAGATTTGTCTGAATACTTCAGCGTGGTCTCACTTTTAGCACTAATGCTAAATATTGAATTGTTCAGAAAGAACTGCTTTTACTAGTGTCTGTCTAAAAAAGCAATTTTTAGAATTACTATGTTGCTCTACTCATCAGAAATCACCTGCTCTTATCAAACATGACAGAACAGGGGGATTGTTGTATATGTAAGAATTGTCAAAATATAAATGCTTTTTTTTTTTTTTTTTTTTTTAATCTAATTTTTAAAAGAAAGGGGGAAAACGGTTGAAATATATATGTGGTGTAGTATGGGGAGAAGTGCAATCTGTGCATTTTTTGAGGGCTCTTGGATCCTTACACTGAGTCACGTTCATATTAAGTTGAATGATGCATACGGAAATAATGATTCGTTTTGGCAATAATTAATGAGAAAATATGTGCCTGTGTAATAAAAACTTGCATTTGCAAAGGCAAACTAGCCATATATTTTGGCTTTTATCCCTTATCCTCCCTGTGATGGAATTGACTTGCCATGAGAACCTGGGGAATATTAATTTGAATAACTACATTCCCCACTGAGCTCTAGAAAACATGTGCAGGTAGTGAAGTTACATTTATGGCCAGAAATAAAACAAGGAACCATCTTAGCATTTGCTCAAAGGATAAGAAAAGTGATGGAAATTGACCCAGAAGTTTAGGTACAAAACTCGTTACAGGGATTTCTAAATTAATAAAAAGAGGTTTACAAGAATCATGAGAGTAAGATTTGTTTATTAATTGTATAATTCTTCTCTCTATTCTAAAAGTTTGGGAGCTAAAGGATGTGTTTTCCCAGACTAATATACCATATTTCAAGGAAGCATGAAGAAATATACACAGTAAGAAGGTTGGCTGAATTTGAAACAATTCTGAATGTGTAGCGAATTAACACAATTTTTTATTCAATTTGTTTAAGTGGACATTCCATTGGAGGCTTGACTGAATTAAAAGACCCAAACATTTTTCTACCTTCTCATCAATCACTTGCACATTGTTAAAAATGCTAATTTTTAGTACTGTTTTGCTTTTGGGAAGTTAGTAAAGCACCTCATTGTTGAGATTGTGGAAGTTGTAGCTCACTGTTTAACAGCAACATTCTTGTTAGTAAATTAGTAAATACACAATCCATGAAATAGTACAATTTAAAAAAAAGGTGTATTTACTACTCTTACATCACTGTTCCAGCATGATGAAAGGTTTAGGACTGTCTTCTTGTACATACCCCCTACCTTTGATCTTCCAGATGATCATTCCATAATTATGCGATAAGTGAGGCTGACAGGACTAGAACTCTTACATCTGACGTTAGTTCAACTAATGTCTCATATTAGGGATTCAATTTCTTTGTTCATAACTTTCAAAGACTGTGTGGACCCTGCAGATTCAACTGCCTCAGCATGATTCTTGACGATGATCATGCACCTTGTTCAAATGCACCTCATACCTTGTTTTTGCATATCTGCATGATATTTTGCTGATGTGCTTCATGCTCATCCTTTCTCTTTATTCAGGCCTTTCTCACCCAAATTTCACTGTATGAATTTCCCCTAAACTTTTATGCATTCACATCTGACATATCATCAATTTCATAATTTTATCCAGTGTCTGAGAAACCTTTGACTTTCTGTTCAAATTTATGTGATGAATTATACTTAATTCTTGTTTCTTCTGTTCCACTGTCTGCACTTAACTGCACTGCTTTACTCACCCAGGAGGCTTCATTGCTTCATAAATAAAATGTCAGAGTTTAGTTTTGTTCTTAACCAGAAAAAAATAAAAATAGTCAAGTGTGCTAATATTCTTTGGATTAAGGAAACCTTTTTTTGTTATTTATATTGTTCAATTTCATTGTACATATTCTGACTTTTAATATTTTCAATTAATATTTTTAAGATTAGAAAGCTTAAAAGTTAGGAAAATGTTTTTATCAAGCTTTAAAATTGGGGGGAGGGGGGGATACAATTTCAAGATAATCTTTGCTGATTCATTAGGTATATAACTAACTAGAAGTATAGATTATTGATTTGACTTGCAGGATGGCTGCCCTGTCCATGTGGAGGAAATTGATGGAGAGGAAGTAGAAGAAGAAGAAGCTGTAAATATAAGGAGGCAACGCCAAGGAAAAGGAAGGAGTGTATCACGCACTAACAGCACATCAAGCACAGCCACGAAACCAGACAATATCTCCCAAGCTAGTGTTGGCCATATACACGAATCAGAATTACGTATTGAAAAGAAGACACAGTGAGTAAATAGTTTTCTGTATCTATTAAATATAAAATGATGTCCCATGTTTTTATGGTAATTAAGTTAGTGAAAATTCTCTATATTAAAGTAAACTTAAAATTGTATGTGCAAAATAATGATAGATTAATGAAAATAAAGGGAACAAAAAGAAAGAAAACACAAAGAAGTATATTAACATTTTCAGACTTGTTCAAACTTTAAGATTTAGTTGGGAAAAAGTAGGATGATACGTTTCACAAAAATTGTTAATTTCTGAAAGGAAATTTTGTATACACATACCTTGTATACACAAAATGTAGACAATTTTATCCTCTTTTATTTCATATTAGGTTAATATTTATGAAAAATTTAGTTTTTTAAGTTATATTGAGATAAAGGGTGATAATTTCCGTTTTTTCTTGTGTTTCGCTTATATTTCCGAATTTCATGGTGCTCTCATAGGTAAACTATTAATAGGAGAAAAAATCTTAATGACATTAAATGTAGGTAAAATTATCTTAATTTATTTTGTCATAACCATTAATTATGAAAAATGGATGGCTTGAAAAATTTGATTCTGGGCAAATTTTTTGTTTGTCAAACCTGATATTCACGTTAAGCGACCCAAAATACATATAAGGAACCAAATATCAAAACTACACCAAAACTTTTCACTATTTACCCTTTTTGAGCACCATTTGACTGGACTAAGTTGCTTATTTGAGAGCTGTAATGCAGAAGTAAAGAGCTAAGCTAGCTGGACATGTCAAGCCATTTTAATCTTTCATTTAGGTAGACAGTTATTCAAAGTTGAGCTAGCATTATGCTTATTGTCCTATGTTTTTGTGGTAAAAAAGTATGTGAAGGAAATTCAAAACAACCTCGATTCTTTAAACTGCAAACTTTTAGCACACTTCTAACAGTTTTATGACTAAGTTGACTCACGGCTCTCACACAGTTCAAAGGTAGTATGGCCCTAGCTCTGCTGTTTACATGAAACAACCTAGAGTTTTGCCCACGAATTGTAATTCCAAAAATATATGTAGGTATGTTCGTGACCTCTCCCATTGACCCTAAATGATAATCATCTAAAGCTAATATAACTTGATTTTTTTGTCCACTTACCCCTTCAATCGCCCTCAGGGTTCCACAATGAAAATGAAGTGAATGTAAATTATTGTAATCCAGAGAAAATTTCCCAATACATTTCTTTCTTTTGTTACTGCAATCCCCCCCCTCCCTCACATATACACATTTGACCTTTTCTGTTGTTTTTTCTTGTCCTAACACAGTTTAGAAACAAATACCAGATGAAAATAATTTATAAAATTTTTATCTCATAATTCATAAAGTGTTGTTTTCTCTAAAGAAATAGTGACAAAAATAATTATTTTACTAATAAATGTTTAATATTCTTTTCCTGTACAGGAAATTGAGAGAGGCGAAAACAAAGTTGCACCAACTTCAGAAGTTGCTGACAACCGTTATGGATCTGCGTAGCAGAGGGGAGCCTGTACCTGAACACTACCTGCAAATCCTAGAGGAAGAGACTACTCGTGTGGATCAAGAGCAAGCTGCTGAAGCTGTACAGGCAGCTCAAGAGGCAAGGGCCCAGCAACAGGCGAATATGGATCGAGACAGGGAAGGGGCAACTGCTTTGATTCCCATCACCGGTGCAGGGCCAACGCAAGAAAGGTATGGAACACGTGATAATGTTTTCAGAAATCTTATGTAGTAGAAGTTAAGAATAGAAGTGAAAATTAATGAAGGAAGTAAAAGCCATGAAAACTGTGGTCCAAATGGCATCTTGAGGTCTGTAAAGTGGGTCAGGGAAACAATAAAGGTGGAAGAGAAGCGGAAAGGGAGAGTGATTGGCTGCTTGAAAAACAAATATGATGATGATGATGATGATGATGGTGATAAAAATATTATTCTAGTTTTTATTATTGTTATTATTATTGTAAATCATGGAAACTGGAAGGTTTAAAGATAATTAAATGCAATAATGCTGAAGATAACACCAAGGTTATATCCAAACTGCAACACGTTTTTCAGGATGAATGTGAGATTGGAGTGAAGAAAATGCATAAGCTGAGATTGAAAATTTTTGCAATTGAAGATGATTTTGATGTACACACTGCACTTGCGATGTTAATGAGACAAAATTTTGAAGCTTGTACTGAGAGTGATTTCATTGTTTTGCATGTACAAAAAATTAAAATCAAAAAAACAAAGATAGTTAATGCGGAAACTTCTCCTGATTTGTTTAGAGAAACTTTAAAATGTAAATATGTATATTTGAGTTGGTAGCATTGTTGAGTGTATGAGGAATTCAATGTCAACAGGTGCTTTGCGTAGTTTATTAAAGACTAGTTGGAGCTGCTGGATGAACAAAAGATGCAAAATTGTCCACAAACAGCAATGCCTTTACGAATTCTCACATAGCCAAGTCTATACTGTTTATGGCAATAGCAAATAGTGACTCTCAACACCAAGCAAAGGATTTCAGTGTCAACAGGAGCACCTCCTTTGGCTTTAACTTTTCCACTACGAAAACTAACTAGTAGCATGTGCACTTCTGCAAGAAACACATGATTCATGCTCTCTAGGCATTGCTCCCCCAGCTTCCTGGTATTCAATTTCAAAATCTATTGCGAGTTCTTGATATTTTCTTCCCCTCTCTCATGAAATTCCCTAGCAACCTTACTCCCCCTTGAAAACTCCTTTGTCTCAATATTGACTTCTGACTCTCCAGTCTTCCCAAACATACTTCTTGCCCTCATGTATACTGGATCAATTTCCATAAGGATATTCTGACTATAAACTGTATTCACATATTATACTGATGGCTGGCTTATCTTCCAATGATGCAATTGAAAGCAGTTTTCATGTAATTAGAGTTACTAAATCATTTCATATTCATTCTTTGTGCAGTGAATTCTTTGCTGAGACGCATGCAATTCTTGAAGCCTTTAAATATATTGAATCAATGTCGTTACAGCAAGTAGTTACCTGGTCTGATTCTCTGAGCTCTCTTGAAGCCATCATCCTTTCTCCTTCCGATTACTTAATGACATCAACTTATTCATCGTTTATTGTCTCGCAGCTATGATCTATTTCATGGATGGATTTCTGAATAAATTAAATAAATTTAAATATGATATTACTAAATCAACATCATCTATCTCTTTAGAATAAAATATATCAATTTCACATTCTTCTTGTTGCATATTAAATTTATGATTAATAATAGAACTACGCTTGAATTACTACAACCCTTTTGTAACTTCTTTCTTTACTGGCTACTTGTATTTGGGCCTGGAGTTCTGAGCTTTTACAACTTGATCATTGATGGCATTTAGACACTTCATTTTTCTTAATTTTCATAGAAAACATATAGCTAAAAACATAACATAATTGTTGCTCTGCATTTGTATTCATCCATTAATATAACATCACTAAAAGAAACTTGGTCATTAGTTACCTGTCTATGGTTTTAAGCAAGCAAAAATTTCAGGGTTAGTTCCCTTATTTACTTAGTTATTTCTATTTTTTTTTAAGTTAATCCTTTCTTCTGAATCACATTTAACTCTATATATATTTGTATAACCATTTTCAATTTTCTCAGTTCTGAAGTCACTTTGGAGATGGTTCAAGCCATGGCACTTGAATTGCAGACACAAACACAATGTCTAAAAGAAGAAAAAGAAAGATTAATGCGGGCCAGACAAGAAATTGGAAACATGAGTAGAGAGTTGCCGTACAGGGAAAAGAAAACAAATACCCAGGTAAGTGTAAATTTTGAAAATATTAATATAATGAAACCTGCAATATTTATTTCAATTTTGAATTTGTGTTACTGTGTTTGTTACTTTATTAGCTTTCAAGTTATAATATACTGCTTGATATAATGTAAATTTGCTTTAGATGGTTTAAAGTTTTTCACCATGTCATTGCATAAGCATACTTTTGTTAATGGCCAATTACTAAGCATTTGCACTTAATATGATCATTGACAGCAATGTTGGAAAAAAACATTTCTACCATTTATTGCTTACTAAGTACTGTTTTTAACATATAAGTCCTTTTAGCTTTAATTATTGCTAATAAGAAAATCCTTTAAGCTCCCATTTAAAATCCTTTGAAGCTCCTTTAATGGGATGTGAGTCAACTTTTGAAGAATTTTTATCTCATTGGAAAATGATAATGAGGAATGTGGTCTATCATTTTTTTAAATTAAAACATTTGAAACTTATCTATGCTGTTAATCAGCAAATCATTTAATGTATGAGTGAGTTTTACAATGAATCTGAAATCCATTGTTAAATATTACATTGTAATAACACTGTTATACTTGTGTAACACACAAGGATTTTCATTGGTTCGAGGACTTTTTCATTGTTTGTATTCCTAATAGCTAATATAAAGGGCACATTTTAATTGAATTAGTAGAATTAGTTATGAAAATACAGTCAATGTTTTTAAATAATTCTACATACATTGATAATTGTTCATTAATTGGCAGTTTTTGGTGTTAATAATAAACTATTCATTCATAGATGTTACTTCAAGCTAAAAGAAGAGAGCTGGAGGAATTAATGCGCAAGGATCAAGGTCAGAGTTCTGCTGTCAATCAAGATATCTGCAGTGAAGTATCAGCTGGGAAGTCAGATACAGCAGGTAGGATGATTATATTCCCAAAGGCAGTGAAAAACTGATGATCTGCATCTCTAATTCCATTATTAAAATAAAATCAAAATGTTTTTGGCACTTAGAGGTGTTGACAAGAGCATGTTTATTTGTAGGCAAGCAAATGAAGCAAGAATCAGGCATGTGATTATGCTTAAAAATATGAGAAATATTTCTGATATTTCGAAGGCAAATTCATTTACATGTTATGTAAGGAAGGCAACTTTTAGTTCAAAATATCTTATTCACATTTGAAAGCATAACACTTTAGCCCATCTGACAATCAAAAAGTATAATTTACACTTGGTGAGAAATGGAAAGTTAAAATTAAGAGTTGCTTATGTTACTACCATGTAAATGAATAAAATACTATAATTAATTTTAATTTACTCTTTTTGAAATTTTGAAGAAAGGGGCTGTAAAAGGTACTTGCTTCACTAATAATACTCTAAATCTGATATTATTGTAAGAAGCATTTTTGATGAAATGTTTGGAAGGAAAGGAGCCAGTTTTAAACGTTATTTTTTGTTGTATGTTATTTATTTAGTACAAGGACTCTTTTCCATCCAAATACAAATGGTTAATAAAAATATAAGTATAAGGGTAGCACACAAAATTATAGTATAAATAAAGTACAAAAATAGATGTAATTACATAGAACCGAAAGCAAATTATGGAATATCCTTTCAAACAGCTGAGCATCAATTGAATCAAAATGAAAAATGGATATTCTCAGAATCTTCACAAATGCAGAAACAAGTGATTAAATATATCCAGATTGTTTACAGTTTTACAAGTCCCCAAAACCCAAGTATTTGATATGCAGATGTGAGAGAAATTTCTTAATACAAAATGACAGTAATGGTTTGCAGGTCTTGTCAAGATTCTAAACATAAGTTGGGAGAGTGAAAATTGGCATGCAATGATATTATTAATATGTTTATGAAGAAATATGACATTGTTACATTCTAAAAAATTTTGGAGATGAAATATTTAACATTGATGAAGTACTTGAAATCCAGAAATGGATGGGGAAGGTTGTGACTAAAGTTTAAAGTATGGCTAATTCACAAATACCTTGTTAATTAGATGTTTTTAAACATTGATGTTTTAAAGGTGGTTTAGTGAACTCTAATATTAAATTTTTGTCCCAAAAAAAATTAATTTGGCAGTGACCATGTTTATTCATTTATAATTAAGATATAACTGAAAACAAAGCCAAAAAATAGTAATGGACAAAACTAAGTCTAATTTCCCAGGTTCATATCAAACGGTCAGTTCTCAGTTTACCAAAGAAGGTTGAGGGGAAGAAAGTGGGAAGATCCTATGCCCACTGCGGATACATTGACCTCCTCTCCATGTATAAAATACAAGGAAAGATGTAAAAAATACTAGGAGGACATTGGGGTTATTCTCAGTCAAGAGATAATATGCCCAATGAACGTAGCTCATACAGCATTCCTTTAATTTGCTTGTATACTGGGAGAGGTGCTATTAATTATTATTTCATATTTTAACTTGTTTTGGAAATTTTTTCATTTATAAACATTGAAAACATAAAAACATTAATGTTAAAAAAATATTGGCTTTAATGTATCCATGTTTAAAAGATTGATGATTCCATAAATACATACATGTTTGAAAACATCATCAGTGATGACACATCCCTATGAACCACTCATTTTGGATAATATTTTAACAGACTAATTTGCAATTTGGCCAGATTCACACATTAGCTTTGACATACCATATTTACCTGAATATAAGATAACCCCCTAATTTTGAATAGGCCTCCTGAGAATTTTTAACTAATTCTTATTACTTTATATAAAATTACAAAACATCTTATTGAATACAAAAATTGCCTTATTGATGTGAATTTCAAAATTTATTGCTGAACTGTTATTTCTGTTCCTTAATATCATCATAATCATGGTTTTTGTCACTACCCTCATCTTCACATGTATCAATGTTTCTTTCTTTTTTGTCCTTCCATACTCTGACATTTTCTGACTTGAAAATTTTGTGTTGTTTTGCCTCTCTTGAAAGTTTTGCATTGTTCATAGTCTTTCATCAGATGCCATCTAAGAACATTACCTTCTGTTGCCAGATTTCCTATTCATCCCGCACTTGTTGATGGCCTCTGATTCTGTTCAAAACCCAGATTCGTATTTGCCAGGCGTCGAAATAAGATTCCATGCAGCCTCTTTGAACCTGCATCATGTAGCAAACTCTCTGCATTTTCACGTTAACGTTTCATTTAATATAATGCCATTCGGTTAGAGATTCTCTTTACCAACCCATTCCAAAATATGTCTGAATTGCCTGACAAATTTACAGTGAATGCCGAGAATACAAACGCGAATATAATTATGTATTGTTACACACAATATTTTTCATTGTAGTCTCTCTCCATAGTTTCTTGTTACATCAACATTTACGAGTTTCGTGACATGGAACGCTAATGTAAAAACATGAGTCCTAACCGTCTAGGCTTAATCTGCGAATATAAGACGACCCCGCATTTTTTGACTATGATATTTAAAAAAAAACTTATCTTATATTCAGGTAAATACGGTATTTATCAGTTAGGTTTCCATGATTTAAAAAGTTTGATGTAAATAACCATGTTTACTTGTAACAGCCGTGAGGTATTTTGTGCGTTGTACATACTTTCTTGCTCTTCTTCAGACTGATGGCAAAGATTCTGCAATAATGTGAATCATGTACCTATTGTAAAAATCTTCTTTGCAAGTCCTTTAGATTCACAAGAAAAATAGGAAATATATAACAATCTCTTTTCACAATAGGTTGAGATTATTGTTTTTTACTACACCATAAGTCTAAACTGTATCGATGATGAAATGAGTTTGAGGGATTAATAGAACTGTTCTTATCACTTGGGGAATTGGTCCACCTCAATATAAGAGCATGTTCTCTAAAAGTTTGATTTTGAATAGGTGTTGCTATACATTCTAAAGTGTGAGTACAAAATGTGGTCCACCCTCCCTCTCCTAATATCACTCAAGGATATATGCCTTCTCACAGTTTAAAATTGTTTCTATGTTTCCAAAATTCCTTGTAGGTTTTAGTTACATTGGAGAAGGTACTAGTGCAGCTACATGGGGAGGATCTACTCAAGGAACTCTTGATGACTTGGCAGAAAGAGATGATGATGTTCAAGAACAGAGTGCTGGATATTCCAGGTACAAGAAACTTTTAATTTTATATCAAGTATATGGTGCACTTCAAGAGAATTTTATTGCAAGCATTCTTGCCACTTGCTTAACTAGTTATTTTATGTATATAGTGATGAAGCACAGGATGATGACGAATCCAATCAACATTATTTAGGCTCTCAACGTAAACATCCTCAACGCAATACAACCAGTAGTAGCAGTAACAATAATAACAGTAATAATAATAACAATAATAATAATGCAGCAGTTAGTATTAAAAAAGAAAGCTTGGCTCAGTCTACTTCCACCAACAGGTACTCTTGAACAGATCATTTTTAGATTTTAAAATATATTCAAATAGATTTTAAAATATCATGCAAAAGGATTGAATAATATGCCTCAGTTAAATTTTATAACTGTGCAAATTCAGTTTTAGGATTCATGTTGAAATTATGTTGCAGGGAAACGCTCTCCATGTCTTTGGAATCAGGTGTATTTGGTGGAAGTCAGTGTGGAAATGTAAATAGTAATGCTGGCAGTATTTCTGGTACATTTCCACCTCCTCAGTCTTTAACAGGCCTTGCTCCACAGCGTAGTGGTCCTCGGAATGTTTGGCGCAAGAGTTCCACAGGTAGGTGTGATTATTAATGTTTGAAGTTTTTGGTATTCTTTAAGTAATGAATGTATTTCATGGTAAGATAAAATTAATATTCAGCTAATTTATGTCTTCAGTGCTCTTTCATTTAAAGTTCTTGTTAGGTGGTGCTAAAAGATTGGAATACTATAGTTGAGTCTTGTTGAAATATGACATTGCTAATATTAGCTGTTAATTAATTCTCGTGTATTTTATGAGAAGAGCTTAGTGCTGGAAAAGAAATTTTGTTGAGAAAGGGATCAATAGACAAAAGATATCAATAACCTGGTGTTATATTCTAGTAATTGGGAGAAGTTGTATGCTGTGAAGCAAGTGTAATGACCAGCTTTTACATTTCAAAAGCGTGAAACATTTCTGCAAATGAAATATCAAATCTATATAGAAGAGATTGATATTACTCGTGCAACTTTTCTTGAACGATGACCTTGCTTCCCCCTCTTTAGCACAATAAACAGATGAAGGCAAAAGCTCACAGCAGCACTGATGACATTATTTCAAATACATTTTCACTGGCGCAAAATAGAGACTATTTTCTGTTGGAAGACTAGAACTTCTGTCTGTGATTTTCTCCAAAAAATCTGAAGAAATGACCAAAGCAGTTGAAGATCCATCACAGGAGTTGCCTGAACTCTTGAGAAAGTTAGAATGCAAATTATTGAGAAAGTTGTGAAGACATGACTGATTCTCCAGAAGTTGGCAGTGCATCATACAATCTAGTGGCCGATTTCATAAAAAATACCCCCAGTTTACCTACATTTCTTCAATCCATCGTTCAAGAAAAGTTGCACGAGTAATAGATTTTGTCTTTTCCTCATTAAGGGTATCTTACACAAATTTTTCTTCTAAATATAAAAATCCTTTATTTCTTTATTATATTATTATTATTATTATTTATTTATTTATTTTTATTATTTTATAGTGTTCATAAATATTTTGTGTTGTAAGTGTAAAATATGTATTTACTTACAGATAGTAGTGCAACGCTTCCTCGAGCCGTATGGACACCTTCGTCTCAACATCCAAATACTGTTGATGAATTAGCTACTAATGCAAATACAACTGCTGTAAACACCACTATGAGCCATAATGAAAATGAAAGTAATGCTAGCAATATCACTCAAGTTAATCAGTCACAATCCACCACAAGTTCTCAAAATAATTGGTGGCAACAACAAGCAATGCAGGTATTGTCTCAAATGATTCTTCATTGAGTTAGTGAAGGCATAAAATGCTTTAAAATTATCACTACATTTTATTATTATTCTTTTAAAGTAAGGCAAGGCATGCTATCAATTTTTATTTTATTAAACGTGTCTGATGGAATGAGAGACTTTTGGTTCTTTATATACATGATAGACCTTGTAATAAACCTTGAACCAGTTAAATTGATTTGTGCCTGTTATGAATTTATAAGTTATAAAATATATTATCTGGAAATTATTGTATTTTTATCTTCAGCTTCAGAGCCAATTGGATGCAACAAACAACCTCTATCAGTCATTATTGCTGGAGCAACAACAGCAACAGCAGAATTTAGCATGCTGGCCGCAGCCTCCTGCATTGGCTCATCTGCCTGGTTTTCGAGGTCCTCTACCTGGTGCCCCTAGTGATGCATTTTATCAACAACTACTGGCTGCTACCCAGTTTCAGCAACAACAACTTCTGCTGACTACTCTAAATCAATGTTGCCATCTTTTGTGGATGCAGCAACGAGAAATGGCTTCACTTAGGGGAATAGTCATGTCTGTAAGTACAAATTTTTACTTTTAAATCTTCTACTTTCTTTCAAGTCTTGAACTTAATCATGAGTATTGTTTTATAGTGCTAAGTTCCTAGACATTTCTAAGCATGGACCTTTTAATTCTGTATTGAATGTTGTAAAATGTATTATTGTTGACTTAATAGAGGATTATTCATTTGGGTTTCAAAATATCTGTTAAATAAATCGTTAACTTTGATGGTATCTCTTTAAAAAGCATAAATTCTCATGCTTTGTAAAAGGTGTTTTATATGATCCTGCTCTCTAAGCTATTCTGTAAGTTTTACAGTTATCTAAGCATTTTTTATGTTATAAATATGAATATGCTCTTGAGCAAAAAAATATTCTATAATCTAAATGGACAGATATTTTGTAAAATTCTTGCCTATACTAGTAATCTAATAATCAAATATTTTATTTGCAATAAACAATTTTATATAACTTTGTTTTACCAAGTAGAATGGCATTATGAAATTCATTTCTTCGATTGAGAATTGTTTAGAATCAAAAGTAAATATTTATCTTCACTTATTTCCAATTATTAAATCTATTACTAAATTTTCATTTCAGAATAAAAAATTTCAAAATTTTCTGAATTTCAAATTTGAATTTAAATTATGTAAAGTTTGAACAAAATGCTATTTGTAATTTGTACAATTCTTTTATGATATAAAGTTTAAAAATTACATTTAGATTTTAAATGACAATTTCTTTGTAGACCACAAGCAGAAAAACTCATAGATAAGTGTACAATATATTATTAATGTATATCAAGAGATTATGCCTAGAAATTAACATTTTAAAATTTGAGAGTAAAAGAAATAATTTACATTTTTACTTTGGATATAAGAAGCACTACACTATTTTGTTCATTTGTGTATGACAGTTCTGATTGTACTTAATTGCTATAGAAGACATAATTAGTAGTATAACGGCAATCATGATAACCATTGAAGAAGCTGGAGAAGGAGTGTCAATTGTAAAGCTCTTGGAATGAATGGAGTGACAGTGAGGTGTGTCTGCTCAACTGAGTACTGAATTTGTTACTCCTCTTTAAGTTTTATACCATGAGAATCTAATTATCTAATAATGAAAGCTGAAAGTACAGTTCAGTATTGAATTTCTGTAAAGAAAAGTATGAAACCAATGCATAAATTTGGACACAACTTTTGTGGTAGTGAACTCTTATCATTTTTGAAATATGTTTGTATATGTGATCATTCAGAACTGATAATGAGCCAGCCTGTTGCTCTGAAGTTCAGAAGTTCAATACCTGACTGAAACCAGTGAATTTCGTGTTTGGAAAAATCAATGGGCTACATGTTACATGAGTAAATTGTATGAAAAAGTACCTCCTCCAAAATGACTAACCCAAAAAGCATTGAAAGAAAGTCTATAGCAGAAAGACTGAACATGTAAATTTGCTAAGTAAGTAAAAAGTGCTTTCCACAACTTTTATACCATGTAAAATCTACTTATCATGTTGCCAAGGTCATACAATAAACAAAAACAAGAAATATGCAGTATAATCTTTTAAAATATTGCAGAGTTGCGGTGCTTATTTACTGATAATTTTCATTTTTAAAATTTTGTAGCTGCAACTTTCTTGCATTGTTAAAAAAATTAAAGTCCCTATTACAAAGTTTTCTTGTAATTTTGTTGGAAAAATAATTTCTAAAATCAGGAAAGGTAGTTGATTAAAAAAACTAGAAGAAGCTGCCATGGGAAAATCGTTAACAATGTCTTGCAGGGTAGAACAACACAGAGAAACAAACAATAAACAAAATATATATTAATACTTTGTGATAATAGTTTCACAAAAATTAAAATGGGAAAAAATTGCAACCTCTTTTCTGCCTGCAAGACTTTTAGACCTACAAGAGTTTGTTTGTAAATAAAGACTAAAAATTGTTGTAAACTATGAGAGTGATAACACCACTTTATGGCTTTGTAAACTTCTTAACGTTTTCGAATGAGAATAACTTGCTTGTTGATTAAACCATCCATTTGTTTGTCATTGCAAATCCATATCATGTGCAAAACTTAATCAGTAGGCCACATACCTCAACTAAAAGTCACTCCTCATGAATAAATGTTTTGCACTGCTTCAAGAAATGGAGAATCTCTTGCTTGTAAAGATGCCCTCAAAGAAATTTGAAAACAGTTGTTTTTGAAAGTTGCAGTCTTTCTGTGATTTCATTAATTTTCTTCTCTTCCTATCTTCATGGCCTGTTGCTTGTTGTCTCAACCTCTACTACCTTTTCCATACTTCATCACTGATATTTTTGTTCCTGAGCAAACTTGTTTAGCCCACTCTTTTTCCTAGATTCAATTTCCCTGATTTTTCCTGATCCTTGTGCTTTTTGTTTGTGAACAAATTTGTTGACTTCACACATTAAAATAAAATTTATAGAAAAAATATAAATACCTGAAGCTAATTTGGAAATTGTTTCATATATGTGGGATGTTTATCTACTACTTTCAATTTTTATTTAATTAAATAAAAGAGTTGTAAAAGCCTGTGAGGGAGACATTTTCTTCATTTATACAGCATAAATACATATTTTAGGTCTTATTTGTAGTGTTCTTTTTCCCTTCTTGCGTGGCATTTCAGCAAAAAGTATTCAGAAAATCTGTGCCAGTACCCATTGAAGCATTGCAGGACAACTGCTGTCATTGCAGTGTCTCTGACCAGGAGGTTCTAGGGTTGAAGTGTTATGGAGGTGGATTATCAACATTTATTTGAGAGCTAAGTTGAATTCAGCTGCCTTCTGGAAGAGAATTGTTGTGGCTGCTCTGATAAGTAGATTTCCTTAATTTCTCCATTCAATGCCTGCCAAATGTTGAATCTGTTTGGTAATATATGGTCTAAGGACCATGTATAATCTACCCTTTTTCAACCTTGTCCCATTCGCTCCCTATCATACATTGTGAAATTTTGGAGTATAAAAAAAGGAACTTATAGCTTTCCCAGCTGGGGCAGAGCTGTGCTGGTAGAGATACCTAGAAGGAGAAACCCCCTACCAGCCGATGTGCAGGTCAGCACCGGATCTCATGTTCTAGTAGGGGAGAAATACCCCACCTCCTGGGATATAACATCTATGGGGCTGATGACCATAGCAGTTAATGCGCCCTGAAATATGAAGGAATCAATCAGTTTCTCAATGCCAGTTTCACTGAAAAATGGTTCCAATTCACCTAGTTATGAATAATTTTTGTGGAAAGGCAGTATTTTCTAATAAAAATTCAGTTGTGAGAAAAACGTAGACTGATATTTTTAATAATATGTCCAGGCACACACTTGAGGGGTGTGCAAAGGACAGAATTTTGCAAGGTAATATGTCACATTATCTGTATTGCTGTTGTTTGCACCTCCAGTCTCCTTGCTTACTTGCTTTATTTGTTGATATTGCAGATCAACTGGTTTGTTCATCAGTCTCGTTAGTGCAGTGAATGTTTTTATCCTGTGAACACTTTTACAGTGTTGTTCCTTCACTGTGTAGTGAGATGCATCCTTGCCTGCTCTGGGGCAAGCTCTAAGCTCCCCACTTTTCTCCCAACATATGGTAGTGTAGTCTATGTAATTCTTTGAGTAAAGGGAGATTTTCTGATAGGGCAGAACAAAGAGTAAGGAAAGATCATGCACAGTCTGTGGACTGCTGGATAACATATTGCTTTGGCATTTGCCACGTTTTGATCAGGAAAACAACAAACACTTTAAGTTTGAGACAGCTATTCGATATGGTTGCTAGATTTCTTCTCCAGTCAGTGGCTGAATCTAACCTATCTAGCGTTAAAATCCTCCACCATCAGGGCTTGAACCCTAGGACTCCCAGTCAGCATCCTTGCAGAGACAACAGTAATGCTGGAGCTAACTCAGCTGTTTCCAGCCCCTTTGCAAGTTCTTTCAACCTCTCTCCACCTTGCAAGTTTTGAAAGAACTGCACTATAGATGAAAACAAGCATTAGACAACATATCTTTATTCAATGGCATCCTTTCTTTCACTTTACCAGCTATACAAGAACACTGCAGAGATTAAGATGCTGTAATCTGCAACTTTTGGAAAAATTCTGAAATTATAAATTAGTTTTCTTGAATTACATATACAAATTGAGAAGTTGAACAAAAATTGAGGAGTTGAAACTTCACTTACTGTTCCTTCATTTTCTCTTGACAAGAGAGAGACATATAAACATTTTAATAAATAATTCAGAACTTTATTCTCAAGTTACAAATGAAAAATGTTTTATTGGTAAGTTAAGAAGAAAAAAACACAATATTAATAACAGCTAATTTGAAGTCACGATTGAAATGAACTTCTGCAAAATATTTTTGAGCATCAAAAAGAAATATTTTCTTTCATACACGAAATTACATTTATGAGAGAAGTGACTAAATAAACTGTAGAAGAGGAGACATGGGAAACGTTTTAGAAGAGTTCATTAATTTCTATTTTACTCCCACAGCTCCAAGATAAGCTGTCTCGTGGTAACGAAGGCTACCCGTCTACCATCACTTTCAGTCAACAACCTGAAGATTCTCTTCTTATTTCGTCTGCACATACCAGTGCTCATCAAACCCCACGACAGTCCCAGTCTAATTTAAGCCATAGCAATGCAAATTCTACTCCAGTGCCCAACGCCCCTCACTCCCATCCTCCACTGAAAGTTTCATACAGTGGAGGCCTTATACAGCCACCAGATGAACACAATAGTTCATCAGGTGCTTTTAGTTTTCATTCACTGCCTAACCTTCCACACCCTCCTTTATTAGGACCTTGCTTTCACGATCCCTCTGCCATTCTCAACAATGGCCCAAACTGCAGTAACAGGACCCCCCAACCACAGCCACTGACCCAGTGTTCCGTCCCCCAGGCTGCCACACATGGTGCTGGTGGCGCACCTTGGCTGCAGCAAGGAAGTGCCGGGGGTGCTCCTGGCCTCCTCTCTGCACATGCCTCCAGTGCCTCACCCGTTCCAGCCCTCAACAATCAGGTTCCACCTGGCAACAGGGCTAACAACTATTGGGACAACTTCCGAAGGTAAATTCTGATCGATTTTATTCTGGTTCAGATGGTGCTGGATTGTAATCTGCATTGTTCTATGACAATATGAATTGTTTATGTATTCTACTTTGATGTTGTTTTAAGACTTCAAATTTCATAGGACAATTTAAATGATTTATTTTCTAAAATTTGGGGAGAGAACTGATTTAACTAATGTTGTTTTGCAAGATTTTATCTTGATCCTTATATAATACAGGTGGAATTAATATTGTATGTATTCCACCTAATTGTCATTACATTTATATACTGATTTTCTTCATAATAATGTTTTGTTATAAAACTATTCACAATGGGAAAGTAAATCCTGGTTCTACACTCACGTTTTATTGCAATGTCTCTCACTTCAACATTCAAGGTACAGATTATCTTAAACAGAGACAGGAAGTTACAAGTAAGTGTAGAGAAATGTGTGGAGTAGAAATTCAATATTTTTCTAGTTCTCCTTTAGCATTTCTTTATAAGATTTTGAATGTATACCTCTTCAAATTATAATTCCCTTAAAGCTTTATTTACCAGTAGGAGTTTTCTCCTGGAAATAATTCATTGATAATTTTTATTTTTTTGTCATATTACCAATAATTGTAATATTAAAATAGATATTACTATCTAATTTTTGACTGGGTTTTTGTGAAATAAGGAAATTAAAATTCTTAAGAATCTTAGTGCATTTTGAATTCAAATATTTACCGTAATATTTGGCTAGTCATGTTTAGTTTTCAGTAAAGGTTTCATCTTTGTCATAGAATTGTGACTTGTGGATTTTATCAGGATTTATTTTCCTGCAATGTGATTTATAAAATGTATTTCCCAATTTTGAAGTATTATGCTTAATTTCTAGTCTAGATTCTCAGTGTCCTATTTATTATTTAATGTATTTTTACTGTGTTGACATGAAAATTACTTTTACTTTAAACTTGAAATTTTGTTCTTGTAATACCAAAAATTTCTTTTGAAATAAAACAAATATCCAGTTGTGAAAAATAAATCAATTTGTTTTGTTTTTTTAAACTTACTTTTTACTTCACTGTGTTTAGTACATGTTTCCTTTAATTTTCTAGATTACTTTTTTCTGAATTTTTGTTGTGCAAAAAGATTGAGTTTGAATGCAAGAAGAGAAGATCAAATCCTTGAAGTTATTTCTTCTTTATTATTTGAATTGTTTAGTTGCAAAAACAAAAAAAAACAAAAAAAGTCTGCAGTAGTTTTCTCTCTCTCTTTTTTCATTCATATTAGAAAATCTGAAGAATTTAATTTGGACTACAAATTTTTTGCTGGAGGAATATCCTGTTTGAAGTTATAAGTTATATAAAGCTAATTAATTTTACTTTGTTTCTTTATGTATGATATAAATAATCATTGATGCTTTTTATTACAATAAAGCATTGGTGTAATTATAAAACAGTAAAATAACAATTAAAATATTTCCTGTAATTTATTTTTCACTTTGAAAAGTTTCAAAACATAATTCTGATTGTCATATTGTATAATTGTTGGACATAGAAGATTTCCTGTCCCTGTATCCCTTCATTCCCTGGTAAAGTTGATAGTTCTACATTTATTTGGCTGCTAATTTTGATTTGGGCCTTGGAGCAGAAAATTGGCGATTGGTGGTGGATGCAATAGATTGTTGATGTGGCTTTCCGCATCATGCTGACGTAAAATTGTCCATGCTTTCTATGGTATATGAACTGGCCTCCCTTCCTTGATGCAGTTTATTGATCCAATCTACCGTGCAATCTGGGTTGACCCTTTAATCGTAGTTAACCATAAGAGTAGTACTGATGGTGGCTGGATATTTATCTTCAGTTTATGAATAGGCCTGAATGGCTTTCATATCTTGCACTTTCAAGCAGATACCAGTTTTCAAGTGGTAAGTTATCAGGACCATTTTGGGTGTGTTTTATTTGAACCTGGTGCATCAGACCCTATAAAGTTGGATATCATTAACTTAGTTCCTATTATGTTTGATTCTAATTATTCAGTGTGATTATTTTGTGCTGTTATCTCCTTATCTAATATGCCTTAACAAAAAGTTACAATTGTTTGAACTTAATATTTTTAAAGAGGTAGCATGTTGGTAAAGAGATGGTTGTGTGCAACTTCTATCAAATATTATTTGTGTTTTGTCAGGTAATACAATTGTTCATTGATGTAGTGTGGGAGTTAAGAGTTAAGTGAAATTTTAAGATGTGAATATAAATATAGTAGCTCAAGATCATTACAAACTGAGTTTAATGAGATGAATTATTTATTTTTTTAGAAATATCGTAATAGAATTGTCTTTATTTTCTTTCAGTTATTCAAGACAGAATCTTTTATCAACAAGCACAAAAAGTAATGAAGGAGTGTCTCATAGCCCTAGTCCACTAGTGGATAGATCACGAAATACACTGAGAAACTCTGCAGGCTTGGCACAACCTCATCCTTCACAGCACGCCACATATCCAATGCCTGATCAAGGATTGCCTCTCAACCTGTGAGTATAGCTTCATTGCCCTAGTGTAAGTTTGCCAGGTTGTTCAGCCTTTTTGCACTTGAAGCATTCTTTTAAAACACAAATTTAAAAAGGCAAAAGAAAATATATGAATTAAAAATAAAAATGAAAAAAAAAAGAATAATTTTTTCGTTCTTGGGTAACAAATACTGAGGAGAATTAGGGCCTTAAGTTAACTATTAAAAATAAAATGAGAAAGTACATGATGTTGTAGCACCATGAGTATAAATATAAAATTACTTTTGGGTTATTTTTTTTTATTTTTCAAGTAAAATTCGTTTACTCTTTGAGGAACGTAAGTTTCTCTAACTTTAGGAATTCTAAATGTGCAACTGCCTTTACATATAAATCCAAGAACATCCAGAAAGACTGAAAGACCTTGTAATTTTTTAATATTTTTTCCAAGATATAATAAAATTATTTTTGATGATCTAATGTACAGATGTGATGAATTATTTTATACAAAAACTGATGTTTTAGACTTTTTTGGTTTGTTGCTTGTTTGCATTTTCAGTGTGATATTAACAATGTCACTTAAATGTTCATTTCATAATTTCATGGATGCCAAAACCTACTTTTATTGTGCTTTTGCTTTCTACAGTTCACGCAAAGAAAAATTAAACATTGAACGTTATCATACAGTACCAGATAATTATGCTCTTCCATCTGGCGGTATCCCAGATTTGGCTGAACTTCAGTATCCACAGTCCTTACCCAACAATCAGTACCTCAGTGCCAATATGCAGGTTGAACACCAACAAATTGGAACTCGTGCATTGCCTAGTTCTGTTTCCAACAATATGTCAAGTAGTGATGGTCGAGGAACTAGCTCTTGGCAGAACAGGCCGAGTACTAGGTCATATCGAACTCAGAGAGGCATGAACTGTAAAAGAAAGAACCCTCGCTTGCCACCAGCAGCCGCAACTGAGCATCCGCTGTCTAGTTCATCTGTAGCAAGTACTCCACAGGACCGTGGCTCTCGCAAGTGAGTATCATTCTTCTTCATTGTCTTAAAAAAAATTAATATCCAGCAATTACTGTATAGTTTTTATGTATAATTTATAAATATTTTGTTTAGTTTATTAATTAAAAATGTTTTCTTGATAAAAGAGTTCAAAGTTTCATTATTTGTTTTTGAAGATTCTTTATTTGTCCAGGCTGCAATACTGATAATACGTGAATTTCAGGGGACATTCTACCTTGTATGACATAAAAAGAGAGAAATGATAATATAATGCAAAATACACAATTTCAGTCTTCCTTTAAATTATTTTGTCCTTTCATTACAGACATAGAGATGCTCTCTGCCATAGATCAGGACGCAGTCTTTTTGATGTTTTAAGTGAATCTGTGTATACGGAAGTGGCTGCATTGATAGCTGTTAATGAATCTCGCCCACACTTTCTCATTCAACTCTTTCGTGACTTGCAAATGGTGAGCTCAGATCCCCTGCGTCAGCGCACTCTACAGTCTATCCATGAGCTGGTTAGCAGATATTTGTCTGAGGCAAGTGGAGGGCCAGAAGGTTCTCATATGCATCAGGTGAGCTCTTGCTTGTTTGTTAATACTGAAATGGATAACTTAATCTTTCATAAATAGTGTGCATGTGTCAGTTTCACATTCATTATTTTATTTTATTATTTAAAAAAATTGTTTTCTTTCAGAATATGAAAGCTTGCAAATCTAAAGAACCAACCTTGAATGATAGCCTTGTTTCAAGTGATGATGATGATAATAATACAAAAGTAAGAAAGAATTTCATTATCAGCTATATATTTAATTTTAGAATTTTTCTTCAGTTAGAATCAGAAACCCTATCGAGAAAGGTTCAATGAAAGACCAATCAGGTTATTTCATGTATCTCAACAGTATCCAAACTCTTAGAAAGAAAAAGAAAAAAAGAAAAGTTTATTATAGTGAAAAAATCACCGGAGACAATCGATGAGGATTCCAAAAAGGAAGGCATTCCAAGGATTGAACAGATGTATGAGACTATTGAAAGATGATTTTGAAAAGGCACAAGCTTAGACACAAAGCTCAAATTATGTAAAATATTGGCCTTACCAATACAATGAGTCTGAAATATGGATGCTAATAGAGAGATTAAAAAACCAAATAGAAGTAGCACAAACAGATATTTGAGACCTCTACTAGGTATTACAAAGAGAGAGAAACAAGAAATGAAGATCAATACAAATGAATAAATAAAAGACAGTAGAAGTAAATTAAAATTGTTATATAATATTAATTCTGCACTAACAACCAGAAGGAAAAATTAGAGATAGTAGGAAAGGCATGAACATGTAAATTAATATCATTACTGAAATAAATGTTAAGTTTCATCTAGGAATAAAAAAACCTAGGACAACTAGAATTGTTTCCAACAAGTCCATTTTAGCATATGTGCAGAATATGTTCAACTTTAACCTTTGTTTGACTCACTATCTTCATAATCCTTTTTCATTTGTTTAATATAGAAGAATATACTGTAATATGTATTTTAAGTTATTGTCAGTTTAATTAAATATTTTAAGTTTGCAGTCAACAAACAGCTTGCCTTTTTATTGTTTTGTAGATGAGAGCAAGTGCAACTGTAACTGTACCTTCTGCCCACACTCCTCCTCGAAATGCAGCATGGAATATGCATGATGATATGTCCCTACCAAATGTACTGCAGGTATGTCTTCATAATCTTAAAGCCAAATTTTACATTTTTATTTTCTTGTTTACTACTTACTTAGTATAGAGAAAGTAGGGTCATGCTGCAGAAAAAAGCACTGTTTTTTGAAAGAAAATCTCGTTTTGTGGGTCTTTGATACCGTGGTACTGGGATACTGCAAAAATGTATTTTTTGTGTTTTTGTATGTACTAAATAACTTTTTTGAATATTTAGTGTAGTCCGAATCAATGTTTTGTGAGTCCTTAGTACCAAAATGTGGTTTTCTGCATTCTCTCCCTCTGAATAACTGTGAACATTACTAGCACCTAAACCCTATGCAAAATATTCCCCAATTGATCTATCTGATGTTGTGACCTCTTGTATTTGAACCAGACATTTTAATATTTGGCAGTTCTTTACATAAAGCCTCAAAAACTTCCTAAAAAAGGTCTCTAAATACCTTCATAATTTGTTTGCTTGAAATAAGCAAATTATGCTTTCATAAATGTAGGTCGCAGTAAACAAATTCATTGAACACTGAATTTTTAAAAATGGCAAAATTTACAAATAAAAAGAGAAAGAATGTGCAGTTTAGTCCCACTAGTTTTTATTTGAATCAGTTATTGTTATAAGCTGCCAGTACATGGTTGATTCTTAATTGAGTGTATTGAACAGCAAATAGTGTGTGACTTCAATTTCTCGTTTTATATATTGTGTTCTAGATATAATAGCCAAATGATATTATTAAAAAAAATTAAAATATATCTGTTAATTATTTATTTTAATTTATTTGTCAGTAATGATAAGTGTTACTCGGTCAAAGTGGTTTTGACTGACCATCAGTCGGTTATTAAAATTTTAAAACACAAGATGAATTGTGTTGATCCCATCAAAATTAACAGTGACTTGACAATGAAGCAAACAAATAAATTAAAACAACTGAGATGTGAGCTTGATGTTCATAATAAAACCAAAGTTACCAAAACTATAAAATATATTAATGGAGTACCAAAAATTGTTGATATCGGGGATAAGAGTGCAAAGAAACTAGTAAATAAACTCTAATACTATTATCAAAATGTCAGAGGTTTAAAAACTAAATTAAACAATATTGAAAAATGTAGTTACAAATTAGACGAATATGATGATATCTTCACTGAAACATGGCTAGTTCTCAAAATTCTTAGTTCCGAATTAATGTTGCGAAATTTCATTGTGTACAGAAATGACAGAAATTTCCAGAATAGTAACTTCGCAAGAGGTGTACTTCCTGCTTGAACATCTATTCATTTGCATACGTTACACAAACTAAGACATTATTGTTGGAGCTATTTATTTTCTTCTCTATGCATCTGAAGAGGTTACGTGACTTGCTGTGAAACAATTGAGTCGTTAGACTTAAATTACCCTGATATCAATTGGATGCTATTTGATGAAAACAATCTACCGAATATGTCTTGGTATAGTATCAAATACAGTAGTTATCCATCTTTCAGCATTGTGACAACTTTGCTCATGAGGAACATAGCAAATTATTTCTCAGAAACTGTCTTTTAAATCTCTTTCAATAAAATAGTATTTGAAATGAATATGCCACTTAGCGTGATCTAGTCTTTTCTAAAAATTCAAAGGCTTTTTGTAACCATGCATACAATATTATTATTAAAGAAGATAAGTATCACCAAGCATTATCTGTAAATATTACGTTTAGTGACATTAGTGTAAGTACTATTTGTGATGACTGGGTCTATGATTTGAATGCAACAGATTACACACAATTTATAGACTGCTTGGGTTACTTTTTACATTCATTTCAGTTGAAAACCATTTCTTTGATGATAGTCTAGCTTTTTATTCTACTGTATTGAAATCTATATACCCCAAAAATGACTCATTTAAGTCCAAATTTCAATCATGGTATAGTGACGAACTGAAAACATCAATTATTCTAACAATTGATTGACCCCAAAGAGTACAAATTAATATACACTATATCGTCACACATATTGTTTTCAAATCTCAGCAGTAAATGAAAGTCACTTTCCAAGAGAGATTTTAGATATTACTGTGCTAATGTAAATAACTCTACTATAGTACATATCTATAGTAAATGGCTTTGCAAAATATTTTGTCATCCATGAAATAGACTAAATAGTACTTAAATCAACATTCTGGACCAGTCGTCATACAATATAGCTTCATTAGATATGACTGTAAGTGGCAACTTTGAAGAAAATAATAAACGTGACACAATAACAAAACAATAGTAAACTTGGTGCAGGTCCTGTTGGTATGCCTTCAGTTATTTTAGATAAATGTAATTTTATCTTCTCATTCATTTTACAAGTCCTGTTTGTAAAATCGCTAAATGAGGGTATATTTCCAACAAATTGGAAATTACATAGATCACACTAATACATACATCTTGGCTCTAAAAATGAAATATCAAATTATAGAGCAATCTCTATTCTTATCGTTATACCTAAACTTTTTGAATCAATAGTTACAGTTAAAATCTAAAATTACTCCATTTATATCAGCTAATCAGTTGCTGCTGATTTAAAACTATTTAAAAGTATAAAATGTACTGAAGACATTAAAGCTCTGCAAAATGTTCTATCAGTGGTGTTTATTAAATTAATTATATCTTCATCCTAAAAAATGCAAATTCATAAAACTCTAAGAGGTAGAAATGTCACTGACAGTTCTTACCAAATTAATGATATATACCTCGAACGAGTTTTCTCAATAAAGGATCTTGGTGTTGCATATGTTAAATGCAAAAATTAATTTTATTATGCATATTGATATGATTAAATCTCTACAACAACTAGGACGGTGTAGGGCGATTCGAAGTACTGCAGCCTTCAGAACTTTGTATTATTCATTAGTTAGATCTCGCCTACTTTTTGCTTCTACTGTCCCCATATTTGGTCCCCATATTTTGATTTTCACATCAAGGGGCTTGAAAGAGTTCAGCATAAATTTTTCGATTTTTCCCCGCAAGACTTAGCTGTACAGATCCAATTCTTAATCATAATTACGCAAGAATTTCACAAATGTCGAGTATTCCTCCTCTTAAATTGTCTAGGACTGTTTTCCTATATAAACTATTCCGTGGTACCATAGATTGCCCATTATTACTTTGTAAACTGTTGTTTCGTGTCTCTAACAGGTCTACTAGACATATTGAACCTTTTTTCTTGCATAATTATTCTAAACTTTATACATCAAATACTTTTTTTCTTTAGAACTTGTAAAATTATACATAATCAAAATCTAGATATTTTAGATCTTAGAATGAGTGAGTTGATAACATGTTTGAGATCATCTGTTCTTCAATATACATAAATAATTATGTATTTGTAATATATTTCATTTATTTAGTGTATACTTAGTCACTATGTTATACTTGTAATTTATTTTTCTTCCAAATTTTATTTTTGTTATAAATAACTCTTGCAAATGCCGTTGTATTCTTCTGTTGTGATATATTTGTAAATTGGACTTATTAATGTTCTTACAGTAAATAATTAAATTAATTAATAATGCGCATGATTTGATACAACTAATGGAGATAAAAGAATTCTGGCATTCTGTGCCAAAACAGTTGACTTGAATTTTCGATTTACAAAGCCCAAATTTTGTTGAAAAATTTTCTTATAATAACTTCAAACTTTGATTATGCTATCTAGAAAGCAAAAACAAAAAGATTTCATCAAATGAACAGTGGAGCCATTGTTGAACTACTGCAATAAGAAAAAATTCATGCTCTTAGTTAAAAACAAAAATCTTTACGAGATTGAGCCATCAATCTAAATTTTCTTGGTATAAATAGTTCTTACAGATAAAAATTTGTACAAGCAATGGCTTTTCAGGCCCACAATTTGAAGTAAGTAGTATAAATAAATCTTGAGATCAAATAGGAATACAGCGAGCACTGGTTAAACAACATTGTTATGTAGGCTAACCAATATTAATTGACATAGATATAAAGTAAGTTATGAAACATTTTTACAGGAATAAACTGAGTTGTGCCCATTATTTAGGGGCTTATCTCCATAAAAATTAAGAAAAAAAAGTATTGAAATTCAGCCTTGTAGGTGGAAATTTTCAGATACTGTTTAATATTGGAGATATGCCAGTTGCAAACAATGTTTGACATCTTGATGGACGAGTAGCTTAAAAAATGCATTAATAGGTAAAACTAGAAAACAAATTGAAATGCAGATACATACTTTTAGATATGAGCTCTTCAATTCTTTGGCAAAACAAAGTGGTTATCTGTTATGATAGGATTTCAGTTAATTAAATAAGAAATGTTCACTTGTGATATAATGTAAAGTGTATGTGTGTTTGCTGAAAGTTGAGATGAATCATGGTTTGTATGTTCAGCAGGGGCATAACGAGTGGGAGCTGGAAGCAGTTTTGGAGGATCTTCTGCCATTTTTGAAAGGACATCTTGATGAAATATGTTCTCCTGCACTCCTGGATGCAGTTAGGCAGCAAGCTGTTCAACTGATGTTGGCTCAGACACAGTCACATTGCAGGCACAACATGCCAGGAAGTACACACCAGCCTGCCGGAGGATACTTTCAAGGTCAGCTGGATGCATTGTTAGAAGATGGCCTCAATAAATTCCAAGGTTGTAGGTAGGTAAAATTCTTGCATTTGTATAGGTGAGTAAAGTTAGGTCAGCCATGTAAGCACACCCAAATAAAAACTGTCCAATAATTTATTGCTAATTAACAGCATGATTTTTTTTAATTAATTGGTATGTATTTTCTTTGAGAAAGAGGATATGTTAAAATTATTTTGCTATATTTACTTTTCATGTAGACATAATGTTGTATTTTCTCAAATAATAAAATTAATTTGGGAAGATAAATAATATTTTATTTCATTCAAAATTATATATAATGAAAATATTTATTATTTTACACTGTTGACAGATTGCGTGATGTTTGTGAAGACTTACTAATGGTTATCACTGATATATTGCAAAGTGAACTCACATTCTTAAAACTTGTGGACACTGTGCGTCGGGAAGTAGATGTAAGTATTAAAACATACTGAAATTAAGTTCATAGTCACAGTAATATGACTGGAGGATGGCTAATACCAATTCATTCTTTTTTTAATATTTGTTTGATATTTATTTCTTAGGAGTCAAGTGAAGATACTTGTAAGAACCCAACAACCTCGGAAGAACCTTCAAATTCAGTTCATACTTTACAGTTGAGTGTGGAATCAGCAGCTCAGGCTTTTCCACCACCAGATGTAAATTGTCAGGTAATTATTTTATCTCTTCCATTGTCCCTTAATTGCATTTGGAATTTCTTCAGTTGCTGACCACCAAAGTGAGTGGCCAAATTATTAGACTCGGGAGATATTTTGAGAAAATTTTAAAATTTCTTTGTAAATGGGTTGACGGATCTTGCATGAAAGTGCTTAGCAGTTCATATTTTTTTATATATTTTTTGTGTATTTGGTGAAGGAATAAAATAAAAAATGGTTTAATACCATTATAAATTATTTATGTTGGAAATTAATTCTTCAATATTTTGTAAATTCTCTGTAAGGGTGTTATGTAACCTAAAAACTTCAGTTCATCCACTTATGAACTTATTTTTATATTTTGAAATAATTTAAGATGAATGAAATATTATAATTTTAGTGTTATTGTAATTAAGTTTGTACATATTGTTCAAACATACCATACATGACATTTTAAATGTTATTCACACACAAAATTAAATTAGCATAAAACAAAAAAAAAGGAAATACAAAAATTGAAAAATGCTTATATACCTTCAAAAATCAAAAACAATTAAGTTACAGAAGAAAGTTTCTTCACTTATGTATATTTTTTTCCAGCATTTCACGTGTAAGCTTGAGATCTCACAGATTGTTAACTTTCGAGATCCATTTCTACAAACCTCAAGAGTTTGCTCTGATAAAAGCATCCAGCATATTTAAAAAACCTTTATAATGTTTGGTGTTTTTCAACCGTTCTCCAATGAAATTCAACATATTTCATACTCAATTCTTAGTGATTTGATTTCTGACACATTTTTCTCTTTTGCTAAGGAGACATCTGCCTGCATATTTTTATTGATATTTTAAACTGTTGACTGCAACAGTTCTTCCAAATTTGCAGTTTCTCCTTTGGTATATTTATGATGTTGAATCAATAAGGCAATTTATGCTTTTTTGGTGGTATGAGATCAAAACTTTCCAAGGCTATTGAAACTATATTTTCCCGTTAGGTTTGTTACACAGTGATACAGAAAGAAAAATTTGTCGACACTAAAGTAAAAATAATATAAAAGTTCTCTTATGTATTTATTGTAGAATTTCAGTTCATGTAATTTAGATTCAGAGACATTTAAGTAGTCTGTGCTGATTCCTAGATTAATTGTGAATCAGCAATTGTTACGCAACAAAGTGTTTTTCATTTCTTACAAACATGTGCATTTTTCATACACAATAGCAAGTGTATTATATTAAATTTCAAATTCTGTGTGTATTGGTGGGAACAACAATGATAGACCCCTGTGACAAAAACTGCTATGTGAAAAAAATTGGATGATTGCAGAACAAAGGCCTGTAGTGATAGTGAGGCATCCTCAAAAATTACTTTCAGCTGCCTAACTTTTCTGTCGCTAGTGATTATACAGTCTAAAAGTGATTTAAATATAAGTGAGAAATGAGAGGAGTACAAAATTTGGGTAAAGATGGAGAAAGTAAATAATAAAAAATGTAAGGTTGGATAACCAAATATTTTCATTGAAAGATTATTTTGGATGGAATTAGCTTTAAAAGGTACATTTTATTTAAATGTTGTGTATTTTGGCTTGTACTAATTGGAATATATCTCATTTCATGCAGAATCGCTTAGAATCCCTGGGAAGTGCAGAAGGTTACAATGGTGATTTGGCTGAAGCAGACCAGTCACATCACGAGGAGGCCACTGGCGGAGGTTCACCACAGCAAATTGAAGATGTGGCTGGAGCTATTGTGCCCGAGGACAGCGATGATGATGGCCTTCTAGAAATCATGCAGGTGCAGTGAATATGTATGTGAGGGTGTACGTTACCTTGTCAAAGTGCATCTTCCTGATCTTTTGTTTGCCTTTCTCAGTATTATTGAAAGGTATAAGTAAGAATCAGTAACTTTTATGACACCATAAACACGTTCAATTTTTGCCTTCTTTTGATTTTGAAGGCAACAAAATATTCCTTAATATAAACAATTCTGATATTTGTAGGAATAACAAATTTTAGATTCTAAAGACTCCACTTGTATGATGACTATGCACATGTGTCTACCCATACAGTGCAACTGTACTGTTCAAATTGATTTCCAAATCTTGGCACTTGATTTAAAATGAGTTCTTCTTATAATAATGTCTAACTTTTCTACTTGTATCTCTTAAATTTAGTTTATGCGAGTTGTTACATTCTCGCTTCCGCAGTAGAGGGAATATTATGTAATGATGCACGAAAAAACTGCAAATTTTCGGCAGAGAAGCTCTTATTACAGGTACCTGGTAACAAAAAAGTGGATAAATCTAAAATTTAGAGAAAAAACAGTCCTTTATCTCGTTATGTAGCCAGAATCCACGTTTTGTGGATACTTGATACCAAAAAATCAATAGACGACAAAACATCTGTCCGACTGTGAACAATTCTAGCGACTAAACTGTTCAGGTTATTTTTCCAAAACTGATATTCCCCTGTTGATCTACCTGATGTTGGGGCCCCTTGAGTTTGAAATCGATATTTTAATTTTTGGGGTGTACTTTATATGAAGCCCCTGGGACATTTTCAAAAAAATAGCTCTATCAATTTTGATTAAATTTTCTTGTTGAATAGTTTAAAGGATGTTTAAGAAAATGGTGTAGGTCTTATTGTGGTTGAAAACCCAGATTTTTCAAAAATTGAAAAAAAAAATTTTTTTCGGCCTCTTTCTACAACTACAATACTTATCCTAAATGAAATGTGTTCATCAAAATCAGATCTTCATATAAGGTCCTGTTAAAGTTTTTGAAAATGTGACAGGTTTTGTGTAATTTGGTGACAAACATAAGTTGCTTTCTCCTAATTTATGCAGTTGGATGCTATGTAAGTTAGAATTTGTATATTATTTCCTAATTCAATTTATTATTTATTATATTTACATTATTTCATTTTAAATTGTGTCCTTTAATTGTGTTAAATGTGGAAACAAATAGACGAGTGGTCATTGCTGGTTGTTGTAACCCATTGTTATAATGCCGCACTGATGGCTCCCTTTCATTTGCGGTAATAGAGACTAATACTTTTATATATTTGTAGAATATCACAATACCATAGTGTTTAATAATAATAATAATTATTATTATTATTATTATTATATTTTTTTAAATCTATTTGCATTTGTTTGTCAATGCTATAAATATTCTATTATTTATTAACTTTTAATTATTTTACTTTCTCGCATACACCTTATGAAGAATATTGTAGGGCTTAAAAGCTCATTTGATATGTTTGTGTATACTCTGCGTAACTTATACCATGAATTCAATGCCAGAAATATATTTCAATTTACAGATTTCAATAAAAAAAGCTATAGCTTGAAACTTTTTAATTTTTGTACCAAATGTTCTATGATATTTCAAATTAGTTTTACAAAATATGATGACAGATGCGTTATTTAGGAGGGAAACTGTGCAATAAATAGTATTACACGTGACTTTACTTGAACTTGTTAGTCTCAAGCTTGTCAAACCTATGTCTGTAGTTTTTTGTTTTTTTTGGAAACTTTTGTCTCCTTTCTTGAAAACTGGTGTGATGATAGCTTTTTTCCATGCAGAGGGCAACTTTCCTGATTCTAATGATTGTTTAAATATTCTGTAAAGGGGCTAGTTGTAGTTAACAATTTGTCAGATACACAGTTGGAATACCATCAGGACCAGTGGATGAACTTGCATTCAGTCCACACATTATCTGGCCAGTTTCAATGTTTGAAAATTCAATATTTTCAATAATTCCGGTACATTTCTCTTCAATTATCAGCAATGGGCCTTTTAGTTCAACAGCATATATTTTTCCGAAATCATTTGAAAAGCATTCTGCGATTTCATTTGGATCTGTTACAAAATCTCCATTCAGAACAATCATAGTAGGGCCAGTATTACAGTTAGTTTGTCTTCTTACATAGTAGAAGAATCTTTTGCCACCATCCTGAACAATTTGCTTTGTGTTTTTTTTAGGCTGTCTCGCACTAGAGGTGAGATTGTTTGAGATATTCCTATAGATGCTGTAACTTTCATTTGTTCTGGTTCTATAATTTGCCAATCCTCAACATTTGAGTCTGAATTTATTCTATACTTGATATGTGGTGAGTAAGTATTTAAAAGATCCTTAGATGTTTCACAAAAATTCTCATGGTTAGTTTCAACATTGTTGTTTTCAGCGACGTCACTAATATCTGTATTTCGTAATGTATGGTGTTCATTATAGTTATGTAGTCTGCTTGAAAGAAATTACATTTAGGGATGGATTTACAAGAAACACTTATTATTCATGGATGATTCTACTCATAGTGATGCCATGATCACAAAGTGATCACTTTGACCAATATTTGACCTTATAATCAGGGGTGTAATGAAGTCATCATTAGTTAACACTAAATCAAGAATTGCAGGGGTTTGATTTATTCTGTAACCAGTAGGCTCAAATACCATCTGAGTGAGATTTGAGTCTATATAGTGTTCAATAAATTATTTTTTAATTCCTATGTGCAGAATAGCTTTATGTTTGGTCCATGTAATTGTGGGAAAATTGAAATCTTCAAAAATAAGAACTGGTATCTTCAGGTCACATACCATAGCCATTTTCTCAAATAGTTTGAGATCTGATTGTTGAGGTTTTGTGTTAGGTGTGGGTGGTCTATATATTCCCCCTACAGCATATAGTAGTATATAGTACCCTTATTCTAGTTTCAACCAGAGAGCTTCCATATCAGGGTCTTGTATTTTGTACATATTGGTAACTTTCAGTCGTACTTCCAATTTTTTGTTTCATTATTACTCCCCCTCCTTGCCTGTCTCTGCAATATATGTGAAAACCATGTACATGTATTAAAAAGTCAGGAATATTCAAGTTGAGCCATGATTCAGTAATTATTATTACAATATCTGGTTGCACAGTGTTGACTTCTATCAGAAATTGGTCGAACTGGAAGGATAGCGGCAATGTTCGTGTACATAATTTCTGTATATTTTGTCTAAGTTGCTTGTAACTGCCTTTTCTTGTATCCCTACCTGTCTACAATCCACAGAACCCCCCTTAATGTATTTAATGACATGTTTTGGGTTTGATTCTTGTCTGCCTTTTAGTTTTGCACCTAGATCTTTCAATTCAGATTCATTGGGGTTAGATCGTTTCTAGCTTTAATTCCATGTGGAAATTTCTTCTATTTTTTAAAAATAATTTTGGCAGTATCGGATTCTCTCAAAATTATTTGGACACATATGTAAAATTATTTTTACTGACCTATTATGTTAACTACTTTTGTCTTAAGGGAATGTTTCATATGATTCTAGAATGATGTACTGAGGCCAGAAGAAAATCAAGATGGATTAGCTGTTGCTTTGAGTAGAGAAGACTGTGAAGAACATGCAAAGACTGAGGTACTTATTAAAACACAAGTCATAAAACAAAATTAGGATAAATAATTACTAATAATTTAAAAAATATTAAATGATTATTCCCCCCCCCCCCCTTCTTTCAGTTCTCAAATTTATTCTATTTTTTAAATTTTAAGTTATTAGTAATCTATTTATCATAATTTTGTTTTTTGACTCATGTTTTAAATGTTTTTTATACTTCTCGTACTAGAAAACTGATGATGATGGCTAAGCCATCCAAAGCTGCTCTTGTAGTAAACAATATTGTTGGCAATGACGACTCATAATTATTTCATTCTAACTTAATATTTTCAGGATAACTTTTTCTAATCTTCCAACTTTTTATAGTCTTAGATTTCCTTAGACTCTGTATAACACCAATTTTGGGTAAAGATATCCTCTCCCCTTATGTAAGCTGTCATAAGTGAGTAAACCCCAACCCTGTGCTCTCTGACATGTGATGATAGATTTTTTTTTTTTTTTTTAAAGAAAGTACTTTATTCATTACAAACTTATGTATGATTCAAATAATAAAATTAATAAAAATTGAAATCACAATATATAATATAATGCAGATTCTAATCTGTAATAACTATTGGATGGTCAGAATTGTTGGAACAAATCTTGATTTTTGGAAAACTATCTCAATTTGATTCAAAATTACATGAAAACCATTGACACAAATATGATGAAACACATTAAATGAAATGATTTAAAGACCTAATATTAAAAAAAAATAAAAAAAAAAAGCATGAAGAAAAAATATTTAGCTTTGTTTTGCAGTATTAGGCAAATATAATAAATTTTTCTATATATTGACATTAATTTTTTGCTACATTACATAACTTTTTCTCTACTGTATGTTATGTTACATTAAAGTACATTACATCAAAACATATTTTCAGTCTTAATTGAAAGAAACATTTCATGAACAGATATTATACTACATAACATGATACGGTCTCCTTGTTACTGGTATTAGTAGTAGAATGATTTAAGTATGTCTGATTGAATGACTAATGATATAAATGAATAATGATTTGCCTGGAACCTGGTTCAAAACAAGTTGTGTGAAAGCTTGTGGCATCTGTATTGTAGAATGATAGTTTCGTACCCTGATAGTAAGAGGTGGAAGGCATATTTGATTATAGAAAATAATGTACATTTCACTTCTACTTGGCATTTTTCTAGAGAATGCCTTGTGCAAGTGTAAGCCTTATTTGTCCTCGAGTCATACCTGTAACATTGGCGATCAACTACCCTTAGCAAATTGATCTTTGTGCATAATCGTGAAGAAATGAACGACTGGATGATTACCAGTATACTACAATTTATCCAACTCCGCCCCTGGCAGGAACAAGATGTTGACAGTTTCATCCAATAGGGAACTTGAACGTCACCATAGTGATGGATGAAACTGAACAGCTGATATCTGCCTGAGGCAGAGTTGGGAAAATCACAGTATAAAATTATAAGGTTAAATCTACTTTGCTATATGCAGCATTTGAGTCAAATTAGCATAAAGCAGATAATATCATAGATATCTACACTATTCAGAGTCCTATGAAAAAAACCCTGCAAGTGCAAAGTATTGCGAAATTTTTCAGTAATTTTCTGCCTTTCAATAAAGTATAAATATTTGAGGTAATATTTTTGATTCAAAACTTCTTTTGAACAGTGTTATATACAAAATTTAAAATAATATTAGGTACTTTCTAGAAATAATTTCTTTTGAAAGCATTCTTTGTTTACTATGGTATGAAAGGAGCCTACATATACCTTTTCTTCCTTCGTAAACAAATGATGTGAACCAATTCTTTGAACACAGGATTGATTAAATTCTTATTTATTTATTAAAAAAAAAAATTAAATCAAGTTATTTTGCATGAGGGGCCTCTAAATAGCAAATTGACTTCAAATATTTAAAAATATATTATTTGAAAATTGTTTCTTTCATAGAAATATTATTGTGAAAATGCCACATCTGTAATATACGGATGCACGGTAAATTCATCTCGTTTGATAATCCTGCTTTCATGTGCAATATTTGCTGTGATAATCCAATTAGTAAAACACATCCTTAATTTTTTTTTTAAAAAATCATGTTGCAAGTGTTTAAATTGAAATATAAATATTTTTGATTTACGTAGGCGATTTAAAAAAATTGATTTAAATTGTATCATAATTGGACAGAAGCATTAATTTAAATCACTCAAATGTCTGTGCCAAATTTTTAGTTTGTTTTGATCACAATACTATAGGACATTGATCAATTTGCAGGCAGAAGATGAGTGGGCTGTTGAACAAGACAGAGAACAAGGCCTGGATAGAGTGCCAACCCGTCTGACCGATGAAATAGATGGCCAGGACCGACCATCAATGTTGCAAACCAATCATTCAGGTACTACTTTATAATTATTATCTCAACTGCAAAATAATATGTAATATGCCTGCCTGTATGTTTTATAGTAGGTACTTCTGAAATCTTACCTAGACAATTTACGTATCGTGCTTGGTAACCCTAGGTATTTTTTGTTTTACGTTTTAATTCCTGGCCAAAATCATAAGTGGGTGATGTCTTTTTTACCAAAAGATTAAACTTACAAAAAGGGTTGGTAATTTTGTTGGTCAGACTCGTGGTTATTCTATATAAAAAAAGTAAATCGAGCACAATACATATGCCGAGCCACAACGCAACACCACTAAGTAGAAATGCCCCTCTGAACGAAAAATCCTTTTGTACTTGGACAAATTTGCATAAGAATTAGCTTTTTTGCGAGCATTCTGTAATTAAAGATGGTCCATTTCAAAAAAATAACATACACCAATAACAATTGTATTTAATTTTAGTAGAAATGTTCTTGTTTTTTCAAGGCAGGTGGCTCATTATGTTGTTGAATGTTACTTTAGCACTTTGTCTGGACAATTTTAATGGATTTTATGACATCTTTTTATTAACCCATTCACGTCTCCCAGAATGGCCTTATTATGTACAAATGTCTTGGAGACGTGTCAGGACCTAACACAGTATTAGAGAGTTGTTGAAACTGAAGTTCTATATGGAGCGTATGTAACGTATTTGTTATGGCTTATTCTGTTGTGTCCTGACACTGTTATATCTCATCCGTAGCCCTACAATAATTTTTAAATTGAAGTACTGCAGAAAAAGGCAAGTCGGGGCATTTAAATCTTAAGGGAAGTCTAGTGCAAAGGAGTGAAAAAGCTGAGGTGAATGGGTTAAGACAACAATGGATATCTTGTTAAGAGTTCCAACCAAAGGCCATTCAGGAATGCAAACTTCTTAATAAATGGAAAGTTCCAAAGCTTTATGGCATGTTCCTTACATTAAGTATTTTCAGATTCTCACAAATAATAATTGTGTACATTTGAGGAATTTAGTGTTTCCGTAAGAAATTCTGTCCAATATCAAAAACCATTGAAGAAATTTTTTATCTCAACTATAATTGATTTGAATGATTTTTATTTCTTTACAGATGCATCTTCAAATCCCTGATGCTTATGAAAATGTTGTTGGCTCTAGTACCTATTGAAGATGTCCCATGCACATGATTTGTACATATTGATACACGGATTTAAAAGCATGGGAAGCAAAATAAAAGTTTGTTTCATCAGCAGTGCAAGAAAGAGCAATGTTCATCTTCATGAAGAGTACTAGAGGCAGAAAATCCTAAACTACCTTGTTTTTTGTAATCTTATGAAGACGTGTATTAAGTGTGCATCTTTCAGAATAATGGACATTTCAGTTATAACATACTGAATTAGTTGGTTTTATTTATTTGTCCAGTGAGACTGGGGGTTTACTTATTGTTGTACCTCAAAGGTTACCTCAAATTGATCACATACTGATTGTATGATTCAGTATTTGTACAGATTCAGTGACTATAAATGTTATGTGATCATTTGAGCCTTAGTAAATATGACAAATAATGTACCTATTGCCATTACTTTGGAAGCTTATGTGGAACAAAAAAATTAAATTGAAATATCCAAATAAATGAGAAAACCAATGTACTAAATAATGTTTATTAATTCTACATCAAACTTACATTTTAGTAGAAAAACAGCTAATTGGTAAACATTCATGTGAAAACATGAATAACATTAATACAAAACTTACAAAATACTGTACTTCCAGTTAAAGATCATCAGTAGTGTAAAAGTTATACATATCACAGCCGTGAATTTGCTTCAGTAATTTTTCCATCAAATCCACACTACTTTCCAAGCTGTGCTCTGGTTCGTTTTCATGGACTGAGTGACAATTTGTTTCTGGTTCTAAAGGGAAAAGAACATTCTTGTGATGAGTGAACATGAAATGTTACTGTGTTAAATAAAGATTACTGTAATGAGACATAACAAGGAAATATAATACATTTTCTTGAATTAATTATACTCTATTGTTTACACGTAGTGACCCATGGTGCACCGTGGATAATGATAATCACTGTTGTAAGTTGGCTGAAGTAGTGGTACTTCGTAACCACCCGAACCCTCAAAGGGTGACTCTGAAAGAGACACCAAATTTGAGAGAAGAGGGGGAAACAATAACATTAGAAAAAAACTTCACAATACAAGTAATTACCTTCTTTCTTTATTCTTTTGTGGTTTTCATCCACTTCTTCGCTTGAATTTCGCTTTCTCGGGAGTGCAGTTATTTTCTGGACTATACATCTTCCGTTCGGTCTATGATTTGAAAGATGCTGCATAGTATTTCCGGAGCATGGTGATTCAGTCATGTTTGGGAAAGTTCCAACGCGGTGATTTTCCAGGCTGTCGGTGATATCATTTGTTTCCATTGCATTACTATCGTCCGCATACACAGGTAAGTAGCCGTAATAACCGTTGGCTGATATAAAAGGCATGGTATTTTTCTCGTTACTCAAGCCGGTAAAAGCCGTACTGTCCTTGCACCAACGCCGGTCGAGTCCACAATTAAACACTGCCATTATTGCACTAAGAAAGCTCGCGCACTCACAAAATAGACTAGACAATATTTTTCTTGATAGCACCGAGGAATAAATAATACTTTTTAATTAATTGCACATACCCTACTTCCCTGTCAAGCCCGACACGCTACCACAACACTGCCTGTCCGTTTGAGTTTTGAGCTTACCACTACAAACGCGAGGTGCGAAATGTGAAGGGGACTTTCGGAAATAACAATCACAAAAGCAGAATAAACTATTTAAAAATAACGTTGAAAATTAGTTGTATAAAAAATATATTGTAAAATAAATAATGCAGTAATATAAGTACACTTTTATTTAATAATTAACGCGTACTTTTACGTTGTTTCGTTTCCGAAAATATCCATGACACTCGCAATAGTGCTCAGTACTTTTCCACCGGCGTTCCTTGCGGTGGATGGTGACGGGCTATATGCAACATCCGTTCCGAAGAATGAGAACTGCGAGAACAGGGAGAGGAAAGCGGAAAGCAGAAACACGAAATCAGAAAATGTTAATTCCTGTAGAAAGCCGAGTATATGTAGAAACCAGTTAATTGGAGTAAATGAGTTGCTTAAGTAAGTTTTACTATTGGGCATGCACAGAAGTTTAAATAATCAGAAAAAAAAGAATGTGTACGGCAAATTGGCAGTAAGTGATTGCCACCAAGTTTTATTTAAGGTTGAACTGAGATTAATTAAAAATAATGTATTGAATTCGGTATGCATAAGCAATCGCATATTCTCTTTTTCATGTTTATTAAAATTTATGAGATTGATTAAGACCCTTGACGGCATTATTTTAAGTACTGGTCTATGTCTGTTACGTTTTATGTATTCATAACTTTTAGCGCGGGATCGTCGAACACCAATGACATGTGCTCTATCAAAGCAAAGTATTTGTAAATCTGAGTGCGTTGAGAACTTCATTGCTGCCTCTGTGCTTTCTGTTGTAGTGACACTCTTAGGCGTATCCAAGTTGCAAAGTTTTGTTTGGGCGAGTGATAGTTGAACCTAAAGTTCTGCGAATTTGTAGTCGTTCACTGAAGTAAAAATAGGATTGCTGAGTGTAGTGCAACCTGAAAGTAATTTAGGTTATTGAGGTGCAGCACCCGCCAAGATCAGTCAAGGAATACTTAAATTTTATGGAGAAGAGCAGAGAAGAGAGAAGTACGTAGAGTATCGAATATGAGTACATTTAATGGAATTGTTAGAGAAATCCCTAATGTATCTATTGATAGATTTGATGGATTTAATTTAAGATCTACAGTGTTCTTTTTAAGCCATTGCCATGCCGATCACATGCAGGGATTATTCACTAATAATTTTTTGGCCCACTTAAAAAAGGATAATGTATTTCTTTATTGTTCTGATCTTTCATATCATATTTTAATGAATACTCCCATCAAGGAAGTTAAAGAATCTGTCAAGATTGTGAGTTTTCTAATGGAAACAATTATTGAAGTGCTTCCAAGTGAACATTATTCACAACCACAAAATATTACAGTGACAGCAATACCTGCTGGACATTGTCCAGGATCAATTATGTTTATGTTCGAGGGTGTTTGTGGGCGCATTTTGTACACCGGTGACATTCGCATAATGGAAGGTGATATTAAAAAAATGAAACAGTTACTAAATTGTGATGGGAGTGCAAAATCTATTGAAACGTTGTATTTGGATACTACATTTTTAGACACTAGCTATGAATATTTTCCACCTCGTAAAAATAGTGCTGAAAGTTTGTGCAAGTTAATTTCTGACTGGATTAGTCAAAGTCCAGAACATTATGTACATATTGTAACAGCAGCAAAACATGGTTCAGAGTATTTATTTGTTGAAATTTTTAAAAGTTTGAAAATAAAAGTACATGTGAATTTTGATCATTTTATTCTTTATCAAAATATACCTGAAGTTGAACCAGCTATTACTGCCAGTTCAGGTCTTTCTCAAGTTCATGCTTGTGGAGTGCAAGGACAACCTTGCCGTTTTTTAGAGGGGAAAAAAAAGCAAGGTTTGGTGCGAACTATTAAACCTTCAGCAATGTGGTTTCGTAACAGACAAAAATCAGATGACACAGTAATAGAGAACCCAGGAAGAATCAGTTTTAAAGTTGCATACTCGTGTCATTCATCACTTAGTGAATTAGCTGATATTATTGAATTTCTTCAACCCAAGAAAATAGTACCCTGTGTCATTCCACCTAACGCAAATAAAAATGACTTTAAGATATTTTTAAGAAGTTTTCACCTATCATTAACACAAGAACGTAATCTTTTGTGTGAAATGAAGAATAGGGAAGAAATTTCTAGGTCTGAATTTAAAAGACTTCAAAGTGAAGAGCAACCCTGTAATAGAAACAAACCAGAAGTAAATAAAAATGCATCATCTCCTCCACACAAAACATCAAGATTTAATACATAAGTTGGCATTTAAAATAGGCCAACTTTATTAGTGTCCCACAATCCAGAATTGTAATAAAATTCAACATACTAACTCTCATAAGTCATCCGACATAAGGCATCTGATAATTCATCTGCATAAATTTCTCTCTGCTGTAGAGAGTTGCTTATAATCAATTTTGTTACTGAGAATTGTGAACTTAAAAACAACTGAATTAGATTGATGGATTGGAATGAGAAGCAAAAGGATTGCCTAATTTGTTGTAGTGGAGTAAGTGGATGATTATTTGATATCTAAATAAGACAGTAATATAACAATATCTGTTTTTATTTTAATCTTTAGGATTTTAGAGAGTTGTGATTTTTTATTGATGCTGAGAAAGTATAGACTAAGACTAAACTTATAGCACCAAAATGTATTAAAATTTAAAGGTTGCATTTTGTAGTAAAGAAATGAAGTTAAAATATTTGTTAAAACTGTGATGCCAGCTGAAAAAGTCTTGTGTATTGTTGCTGCTGCTGTTACTTTGTTCATGTTTCTCTGGAGTGCATTGTAGGAATGTAATAGGCTTTGTTTTGGCTATAGTGTGTTGACGTTAGAAATGCACTTTTATTCTTAAACTTCAAAAAACTCATTTTTGTTCAAAATCCATTTCATTTTGCACTTATTGACTGGCTAAACAAAAATTTTACATCATTGTAATGTTTTAATCCTCAGGTATTCATTTAATATGAAACTAATTATTTTCAATTGTCTTTATGTAAGCATGAAGGTCAGAATGGACCCAATTTTTCTTCTTCTGCAGAAAGGCTGCATTTGCAAACCCGAAGTTAATCAGATTTTTGAAATTTTATTTGATGTATATAATCTCAAAACTTTTTGTTTTTCCTTTGTGACATTAAATTGAGTTTGTTTTTCCCTTGTTATATTCAATATAATGAGTTTATCTATACATTGGCATATTACATTTTGCATGTGGCATACTACATTTATCTTGATTGTGACTATGCTACATTATTTGTGCTTATCAATTAAAAATAAACAAGAATTTTGGCATGTTTCTAATTACTTGTGAACCTTTTTCAGATTGAATTGTGATTCAGAAGTGACAAAATGTCTGCCAACAACGAGCAAATCCCTGCTATCGATGGCCAGGCTGAAACTACTGGGGGTAATGGTGTTAATGAGGCAGGACCAAAAGCAAGTAATGATAAAAATGCCTCAGCACCCAAAAATGAAGTGCCTCCCAGCAAGAAACCACGTGTAGACTTACAGTCTTTACCAGCTCGACAGTATTTGGATCAGACTGTTGTGCCTGTTCTCTTACAAGCCCTCTCAGCTTTGGCCAAGGAAAGACCGCCGGACCCTATTAATTTTTTGGCAGGGTATTTAATGAAGCATAAATCGCAGTTTGAACAGCCAAATAGTAGTGCAACAACTGGTACCACGCAGTGAAACAATTGTACTATGGTGTGGTGGTGTATCAAACATTTCCTATAACTGCCAAGATACTTCCCTGGAAATTAAATAAGTAATTTTGTAGATTGTAAGTTAATAAAAACTTTGTCAATATAACGATGATTATTTTTTTGTGTCTAGATATCACTGGTAACAAAATGATGTCCTGTGTGCAATTGGTAAAGCACAAGAGAAGTTGAAAGATTCTGTGGTAGAAAACATAATGCTAATATTGTCGGTGGTACAAAGTATGCTACATACCCATTTTAGACAAAGTGTAATTTCTCAGTAAATCAGTAGGGTGCCAAACTTATTTCTTGACTCTGTTATTAAAAACATTGTACTAAGAAATACATGGGGATCAATTATATGTAAATTGTAATTTAAACTCTTATGCTACAATATTTCTGGAATTGATACCCGTGTTTCAGATTGAATGATAAGCATGATTTCTGTGTTGTATGAATAGAAACGTAAACAATTAACACAACTAGGGACACAGTAGGGAAATTTAAGATTACAAAAAAATGAATGGATTTCTTTGAATGTTTAAAAGTAGTAATGAACAATTAATTTTAAAATGTGACAGATTGAACACCATTATGAATGGTGGGCCTGCAATGAGCCAAAACAAGTTCATAGAGGGAGTAGGCCTGTGTAACTATGTCAATACTACATATTTTCATGGTAAGTTCATTCAAGTAGTATGTGAAATACTAAATGCATAACACCAGAATTCCTTTCCAATGAGAGATCTTGGGGTTGTTTTCAAACGCTTGAAAAATGAACTAACACAAATTTGTTTTGCACTAAACGAATTTTAATGGTAGATTATATCAGAAAACTGGATTCTTCTACGTTTCCTTATTTGTAGCTAACTACACAGTAACTGGATTTTAGTTGTCGGTCACTGCTACATAAGAATATAGTTAATGATGTGAATGTTGATGGAATGGTTTGTTTGGAATATTTACAAAGATTAATTCTTAACCTAATGTGTCTCCACTTACAAAATTGTATGGTATTAATTATTTATAAGAAATTCTGAAACTTCACTAATCCGCAGTGATGTGAACGTCAATGAAGTGTACCCTTCAATTACTCAGCAGCAAGGGTTAAATTTACAAACAAAAAATTGTTACGAAAAATACGGAAATACTGATAACAATTTGGTAAAGCCGCTTGTCTGTCTATATTTAGATCAGAGGGAAAAAACACTTCACTTACGTTTATTTGTATGGAAGGGGGTATTAAGTACGTAATAAAAATTCTAGTGAAGACATCTTGGTTTATTGAACATCTCTGGAAAGAAATTTGATTGGTGGATTTGGTAGACTGAAAATGGCCGACTGACATTCCTCTACGCAGTTGCCGTACGACTGCGCAGTAAGGATCTCAGTCGCGCTGGATCACACGTACAGGCGCTCCGTCTATGGACGTTCTCATACTTATTCAAAGCTTCAACGGGAGTTCTACCAGATGGCAGCATGGAGAATGTTCCAAATTTTATTGAACTTCAGTTCAGAGCTTCGCAAAGCGTCGGCTGCTTTGGTCGATAGTGTTGGGGCCAAGCGTTTGGTGGGGAAAACCGGTGTGATTTGATTGAAAACTGGAATCCTGATATTGCATAATGGCCGTGAAAAATGCAGTTAAGACGTAAAAAATGTTGTGGATATACTGTGGACTGTTTCTGTCTCTGGTCGAGGTGCCGGGGCCAGCACAAACCGCATCCACATCGAAAAGAGGTAAAATTTACAAGTGTCTGTCATTATACTATCTGTTTTATTTGTGTATTACAAGTTTTTGTGATTATGACTTTGATATGACGGGAAGGATAGAGGAAAACTCTTTCGTGCATCACAATTTTAGCTTACGAATTTGCCTTTCAGAAATTAAAATGTAAATACCGCCATTTGACGTTTAGTTGATGACATAATACCATGCCGGCAGAGTATCCGAGAGATTCATAAACAGACGCAATTTCCTGCTGCTTTAGAGTTCTAATCGTGAATTGAGAGGAACCGTCGTAAAATAGAGAAGTTGCGATCAGATTTGACCATTTTATATATGTTACCAATTGTTGCAAATTTGTTAAGCGAGATGAATACCTGTGTAATGTTTCATATTATTACTTTGATGCTCCCATCTGTGTAAAAGGTATGATTGTTGGTATGTCTGTGTATGGTCGGCGTCTCGCGATTTTCTTTGACTTGTGCGTCTGGATAGAACAAAAGTTCGTGTAGATATGATTGTTGAATTAAACAATGAACAATTTAACACATTCCTTATTCAGGCAGAACAGTTTCGTTTTTTAGCGTTGTATAGTCAGGATAAACACGATTTTTTATCAGTTAAATAGTTTATTAAATTAAATCAATGTGGAAAACACTCGTTCTATTGTGGATCATCCCGTCTTGGATCAGTAAACAGCATTCGGGAGCAACGGAGAAAACCATTATTAGTCTTTAATTTTGAAGATAATTCAGTTTCTCTAGGTAAATTACAGCAATGACAGTACATGATATGAAAATGTCAAGTTTGCATATATTTCATTTTAAAAACGATCGTCAGAGTTCGTTAAGTTTCAGAGTGAGGGGAGTGCACGTTTTGTTCAATATTGCGTTCTAACTCATTAGAATGAATGCGTTTAAATTTTTCCAATAAAATTGATTAATATTTTTTGGGCTATTTTAGTACCAGTGTGTACTAACAATGCAGTGCAGTACTGTACAGTAACAGCTCAGTGACAAGTGTAGTATGTTAACAGCGTTTCAATTGTTCAAATAATAATAATATTTATTAATTAATTTTATTTATTTAGTTCATGAAAGTATTCTAGTGTCATGCTAAAATCTTAGATTATTATGAAAACTAAAACCATGTGGAGTGCCTATTTACAGAATAGGGGGTTCGAGCAGATGAAAGTTCACCAGTTCACTTATTTCAACAAAATAAAAGGTCGGCGAGTTTTGTAAATGAGATAGACCGTAAGCGATTAGATTTTTACTGGATTTGAGATAAGGCCACATGGAAGTCTTTTACAAATCATTTAGATTGGTTCATCTGGATATGGCTATTTCGTCAATTCATCAGAAATATAATGAATCATAACAATGAAAACTAGAAGCATGGCTGCTGCGTTATTTTCGTTCAGATTGATATGAAATGAAGCGTTCGATTTTAATGGATAGGCTCCGTAGTTATGTGTTTCATGTGAGTTCTTAAATGCTGAAGACAATTTTTCAAATTGGTCTTTGTTGCTGCACAATGGAATTGCTTGCAGTTTATTTTTCCATTCTCTCGTTCAAGTCTCGTTAATGCCATTTACGGTACCTTTTCTTTGTAGATATTAATTACCATTTGATATTATTGATCTTAAAAAATTAAATTCAAGGTGACTGTAGTTACATATCACATACCTTGTGTTCCTGGTAAATTTACAGAAAATTGGGGGAACATGAGAAGTCTATTCAGGGTATCGCCTACCTCGTCAGGCTTTTTAAGTTATACCGTTATTGCGAAATTTCTTGACACTTATATTTTATTGTACATTCTAGTGTTTTAACTTTGTTTCATTGAAGCGTTTTGGTTTAGAATTCTCATAAGTACGGCAAGCGTAATACACATGTAGGACACGCGGAACCCTTTAAGCTCACGTTACAAGTACGAGTACTTACAACAGGTGTCATTTTGTGGGGTGGTATCAGATGGGCATTTTCTCTTCCATCACGAAATCTTGAGCTTGGAACGTTGAGAATGAAATTTTTTCGCTAAGAACTACTGGAATCAACCACTCATTTCTTGCCATTTCCGTGACCAAGACAAATTAAAAGAAAGTATTAGGTACCTGGTCTTTCGATGCAAAGCTGAATTTTCTCTCTTCTGTCCCCTTTTCTATACGACTTCGATCCTGTTCGTCTTATGACACAATACAAAATTTAATAAGGGTTGAGTAGCTGACGGGATTTTAGTCTGTTGTATCTCTAAATCATGTCTACTACTACATACATCTCATATTACAGTCATCGTTTGAAGTCGCATGCGAGTAGGTGAAATGTGAATATTGTCTGTTAAAATTAGTTGAGGCTGAAAAACTTTTAACGTATGAAACTTTTTCCTTAATAACCTTGTAGACTTGCCTAAGGAATTGTGATTATATTGTTCGAAAATTGTTCTTAAAGAGCAGACCTCCGCATCTGATTGGTTTTTTTATTAAAAGCGACTGATGAGTTATTTTTGAAACTCCACCAATGTTTTTCCGAGATAAGATCTAGTTACCTCCATTGACAGCACTGTAACGCTATCAAAGTTCCAAATACATGCTCGAAGTGGTACGAACATTCTCCGAAACGGGAGACTTCTGTTGAACTGTGTACACTATTGTACGAGTAACAAATCCATATTGATAATTATTTGGGATTTGGAGAAATATCGTGTCTGCTTGTAGTTATTGCTGTGCCATGCAAACATTCGTAACCAAAACGACTTAAATATGACTGTTTATTGTTAGCAGAGTATGGTGGCGTGAAGATAAGAACTCTGAGCTTTTTTCGCAAAGTTTGCGTAAGAACTTGTGGAAACTCACAGGCAATTTAAAAGACGGGGAGTCTCGTCATTTTGGTACCCACGCAAGTCCTTTGCGAGGATTCGAATTGCGAAAAACTGAAAAATTAAAAAGTCTGAAGACAGGAAATTCAAAATTTTAAAATGTCTCTCCCAGAGAAAAAATACTTCATTAGTTTTATTTCGAAATATCAATTTTATTCGAAATTTTGTCTACATCTTAAAATATTAGAAGTATTAAATGGTAGTATGATTTATTGGCATAACCCCAATGATTCCCTTCTAATCATTATATTGCTCGGAAAATGTTTTGTTCATAGAAATTATTCATTCCGTTTGATAGCGCCAGTGAGTGCAATCATAGCCACCGAACTAGCTAAATATCTGTATCGTAAGGAGAGAACAGCGTTTTTTTATTGGGGATATAATATATTCGCACCAGAAAGTTTGTTTGATTAACAATTTCCTTTTTTTATATGTTTCATAGTGGACCTCGACAAAGCGGATTATTTGTATTTTTTTATTGCAATTGGAATAATATACAACTCAGTTTAAAAAAAGCATTGTTCTTCTTGTCACTGAAACTTATAGTTCTCTCTGCAGATCAGCACATTCAGAATGTACGGTCTCTCTGAAGTGCAGCGCGGCAAAGATTTTTCTCCAATGCAGTGTTTAGTAATGTAAGCGATAGATAATCGATAAAACGCTTGAAATTGTGAAATTTTACTTCTACATAGTAAATATTATGTTATTATTTATTGGATTCTGCTTGTTTTTAAGTGACGTCAAATTTTTGCTCTAAAACGACTGTTGAAAGTTAATATTTTGTAGCACACACAAAAAATACTTCGTAGGATTGCCTGACTAAAAACAATTTTAACTGATGTTATAACGTTGTTGGTAAAAAACAAAAATAACTAATGGATTATCAGAATTTTTGATTCTCCATAGAAAAAATAAATATCACAGAAATATATTGCAAGTATATTCACTCACAGCATGATACTTATTTTTAAAATTCACTCTACTAACTAATTACCTAACAGTTCGAAAAGAAAACGAAACTATTCTTGGAAAAGCTACCATTATTGATCATCAATTCAGAGCTGCGACTATTCATACAAAAAGTATATTTTCGACAAATTATCTTATTCGTCCATGATGGAACTGTCGGTGTCTTCCCGCTCTGTAACGGTGTAAATTTTGATCACTAGTGGAATATATTGAATCTTGTGAGATCGCAGCGATTCACATTACATACCCTTCTGCTCCTTTTTCATTCATTATTCACCGCTTATAGCATCTAATAAAATATATTTGAAATCAGATATACATTCGTATTTATTATAATAACATGTCTACCGATAACCGAGTTTCATTTTATTGGATATGTTATTGATGTAATCGAGGCTTCTTCCTTCTGTTCAAGTGAACTCAGCTTGCAAACGTTGGGTTTTGACTGTTCTGTAAAAGAAAATCTCTGCCTTTATTTATCGCGAAATCGGCCGAACTGACAAAGACGTCGAGGAATGTCTCAGGAACCTTAGATTACTTAGTACTCACAACGACCGCCATTACAATATGTGGGCGAAGAAATCGGACAGGCTACTCAGGAATTCTGTGAACATTTGTTGCACCTCGTAAACCTTGTTTGAAGCAAGTGTTATTAAAATGATATTAAAATCGATGAAATCGGCGAAAAATGCAGTAAAAATGCAGTAAAAGGGGGGGGGGAGAATTAATTGCTAGTCGAAATCGACGAAAAATGAAAAAAGAAAAAAAAAAGACAAAAATAGATCATTCGGTTTCGTCACAACATAAAATGAATTTCTACACTTAACGGCATTGTTCTAAAGGGAAAAGGAAAAAAAAGAAATTTCATTAAAATCCGCCCCCTAGCAATGACGCATCTTAAGCCAGAGAGTGCTCTGTGTTTGTGATAGCGGGGCGGGAGCGAGGCAGTTATAAGCAAGCGTGTGAATTCCCTCAACTCATGATGCTCGTATCAGTGCACTACTGCTGCTGCCAGGTGAATCTAATGTTGCCAGATGTTTCCCGCGGCATGGAATATATGGCAATTGTTATCACTGGCG